AACCTGTTGTTGCTTGTTTGTCGTTGTAGGATCGTTGTTGAAAGAATTATTCGTTTTTTGTTGCTCTTGGAAATGCAATTAGTACTCTGGTATCACAGCGCACACTTCTCAGGATCGCGCTGTCTCCTGGCACGGCTGCTCCAGACCCGTCGCCATCTTGTTCCCCAACACGATTATCCCACTGCCTTTTGTTACCCTCTCCAGCAAGCTTCGATAACTAAACCGTTCGGGCCTAACAATGTCCAGAGCCCCAAATCAGTAAATAGTTTAAATAACATGTATCTTGTGGCAATCATGGCAGGTTTCCAGATCTTTATAAATGTCTGAAGTTCTGGGGGGTTTTTTGTTTGTTTTTTAAAGGCATTTATTACTAATTGATAGAATTGTGAAACAAAGTTAATTTTTCAGCTTACATTTTCCAACATCAAATATGTACCCAACATTTATTAGAAGTTAAAGTAGGGGGCCGGCCCGGTGGCGCACTGCTACTGTGCGCCGCTTGGGAGTGAAGCGGCGCTCCCGCCAAGGGTTCAGATCCCACATACAGACCGGCGGCTCACTGGCTGAGCGAGGTGCGGGCGCAACACCGAGGGTTGCGATACCGTTGCTGGTCCCGGTCCGGTACGGGCGCGACACTGAGGGTTGCGATCCGTTGCCGGTCACGAAAAAAGACAAAAAGGAAAAAAAAAAAAAAGAAGTTAAAGTAATGATTGTTAAATATGTAGTCTTTAGTCTTCCCACTGATAGTAGCATTTTTAGTTTAATGATAAGAATAGAGCAGTTGAAGCTTTATTTATACTCCAGCAGTCCCCCGTTATCCTCAGGGTTGTGTTCTAAGACCCCCATTGGATGCCCCAAACCGAGGGTAGTACTGAACCCAACACATGCTATGCACTAACTTCTCTTTCCTTCTATACAATTTCATGTATAGAAGATTCACTTTTGCCATAGATCTTAGCAACCTCAGCATGCAATTTTTTTTTCTTTCCTTATTGAGAACTTTCACCTTTTCACTTAAGGAAGCACTTTGGGGCTTCTCTTTGGCATATCTGAATCACCAGCATCACTCCTCTTACACTTTGGGGCCATTATGAAGTAAAATGAGGGTGACTTGAACACAAGCACTGCACTGCCATGGCAGTCGATGCAATAACCCAGATGGCTACGAAGTGACTAATTGGCAGGTCATGTCTACAGTGTGGACATGCTGGACAAAGGGAGGATTCACGTCCTGGGCAGGACAGAGTGGGATGGTGCAAGATTTCATCACACTACTCATGATGACATGCAATTTAAAGCTTATGAATTGTTTATTTCTGCAATTTTTTGTAATATTTTTGGACCAGGGTTGACCACCAGTAACTGAAACTGTGGAAAGCAGGAGGGACTACTGTAGTGAAAAGTGGGAAACAACCTAAATGCCAAAACAGTAAACAGAGAATGATAGAATTAGTATAACGTGCATCCTATATAGCAACTAAAAATAATGTTTTTGAAGAATATGTAAGTGCGGGCAAAAGATTTGCAATATAATAAAATAGTACTTAAAACAGTGTGATTTCTTCTATAATATTAAAAAAAAAAAACTTAAAAGCCAGAAGAACAAAATTGATTTTTCTTTAGGTGATAGAATTAAACTTGTCTCCCCCCACTCCCCCTTTATAAACAATGAATATGTATTTAGTGAGAAAAAAAGATTTTAAAGGGAAGTGGCTTAGAGACTTCTAGAGGAAATCTCTCTCTAGTAACCTTACAATTCTTTACAATTCTTTTAAAATCAGCATTCCTCCTAAAAAAAAAAAAAAAAAAAAACCCAAAATCAGTGGATTAGTGAAGTGGCTAACATTGGTTTAGGAAAAAAGAAGGTTTGGAAAAGAAGACAAAGCAACTGAGGTAGAGGTTTCCTAGAGGCATAGGGAGGGGAAAAAAGTATAGAGTCAGACTAGCTTGAAAAAAAACTTAAATAGAAACTAAAAGTAATATTTAAGTGCTAAGGTTGACATTGATGAGTGTATGATGTGTCATAAGAGCCCAGATTTGCAGGCTGAAACTACCTGAAACCCACAATTGAGATTTATTTTACTGCTTAATTATACCACTTCACTGCTTATATTAACAGTGACCTTGAGTGTGTTTCTTAACCTCTCTAAGCCTTGTTTTCTTCATTGTAAAATGTGCCAGATGCTTTACATATATGGTTTTTAATCTTCACAGCAACTTAGTAACATTGCTATTATTGAGCCCATTTTATAGATCAGGAAACTGAGTCTTAGAGAATTTAATTGGTGCAAGGTCACAAAGCTAATTATGCTTTGCAAATACCCATATTTTCATGTGTGGTCCCTAGTAACCATAATTCTACTCTTTACTTTTAAAAGTTCTTTTTTTTTTTTTTTTAACTCCCACATATAAGTGAAAACATCTGGTATTTATCTTTCTATGCCTGACTTATTTCACTTAACATAATGTCTTCCAGGCTTATCCATGTTGCCACAAATGACAGGATTTCATTCTTTTCTGTGGCTGAGTAGTATTCCATTGTGTATGTACTAACCACTGAGATGTACACTTTAAAGGGGTGAATTTTGTAGTATGTGAATTATATTTCAGTTCAAGAAAAAGAAAGAACCCTTGTATTTGTTAACAGCTCTCTATTCTCCCCCATACTCGTAGCCACAGCAACTGCTAATCTACTTTGTCTTTGTAGATTTGCCTGTTCTGGACATTTTGTATAAATGGAATTAATCACGTAATATGCAGTATATTGTGGCTGGCTTTTTCATTTAGCATAAAGTTTTTAAGGTTCCTCTGTGTTGTAGCATGTAGCAGTACTTCAGTCCTTTTTATTGATGAATAATATTCCATTGTATGAACGTACCACATTTTGATTATCCATTCATCAATTGATGGATATTTAGGTTGTTTCCACTTTTTTACCTATTATAAATAATGTGGCTATGAACACTCATGTACAAGGTTGTGTGTGGACATGTTTTCAGTTCTCTTGGGTATATTCCTAAAAGTGGAATTGTTGGGTCATATAGTAATTATATGCTTAACTTTTGAAGAACTGCCAAACTGATTTTCTAAGTGGCTATACCATTTTATATTCCTACCAGCAGCATGAAGTTTCCAGTTTCTCCACATCCTTACCAGTGCTTGCTATTATCCATTTTTATCATAGCCATCCTAATTAGCATGAAGTGGTATCTCATTGTAGTTTTGATTTGCATTCCTTAAACAACCAACACTGCTGACCATCTCTTCATGTACTTATTAGCCATTTGTATATCTTCTTTGGGAACAGATCTATTTAAATCTTTTTCCCATTTTTTAAATTAGGTTATTTGTCTTTTTATTTTGGGTTGTAAGAGATCTATGTATATTCAAGATATATGTACCAAATCTGATATAGGATTTGCAAATATGTTCTCCTATTCTGCAAGTTGTCTTTATGTTTTTTTCATATATTATTATATTTTTCTTGATATATTTTTTTGAATCACAAAAGGTTTTAACTTTTATGAGGTCTAATTTATCTTTTTTGGTCACTTTTGCTTTTGGTGTCGTAGCTAAGAAACCATTGCCTTATCCAAGGTCACAAAGATTTATGCCTAGGTTTTCTTTCAAGAATTTTATAGTTTTAGCTCTTACATTTTATTCTTTGATCTCTTTTGAGTTAATTTTTTTATGGCATGAAGTAGGGGTTTGACTTTTTTCTTTTCAATGTAGATATCCAGTTGTCCTAGCATCATTTGTTAAAATGACTATTCTTTTCCCATTGAATTGTCTTGGTGCCTACATTACATCTTAAGAACATATGAATACAGCTTTGGAGAACATATATTACAAAAGTGGAATTTATCTGCAAGCTACATTTCTTTAATTTGTTTAACATTCTCTGTTCCTTTGTTTCTTCATGAGAGAAATGTGAAAAATTAGCATTTCCAAGTATTTGTGTTTCAGGGTGTACGTGAAGTAAGGAGGTAAAGAGTACTAGAGTAAAATGTAGTAATTTCATAAAATTGTTTACAGGATGTAATTTCACACAGTAAAAAGCTGAATAAGAAAAAAGGAGGAGAAATGGACCTATTGAATAACACTGACAACCAGGGAATCAAAAGTTTGAGTAAGGAGAGGAGAAAAACACTAGAAACATATCAGCAGCTATTTTACCTTTTACAGGTAAGAACAATTTACCTTTCTCTCTGAGTTTTGGATAAATATTATGTTCCATACTTGTGACTTACAATGGCTCTTTCCCCCTGCTTCAGCTATAATAACTTACGTGTTTTGCACACCTACTAAGTACCAAATGCTGTTCTAGATGCTTTATATACATCATCTCATTTAAATCTTACTATAATACTGGGAACCATGAGAGAATAAGTACTGTTGTTATTCTTATATTGCAGATGAGAAAGCTGAGACAGTCAGCAAATTATAAAGCAGGGATTTTGGAACCCAGGCAGTTTGACCTCAGATCCGATGTTCTTCATGCCTATATTACTACAGTTATCTGCAGAAACAGTATAAATTCAATAATAACATAATTAAACAGATGCTGTCAGCCATGAAAAAATTAAAGTGACTGTAGGTGAAAAGCAGATCTTTACCAGAACCAGCCTGTTCTTTTTTGGGGGAAAGAGCCAGAGGATCAGGATTAGGAAATAGTATGTCTTTTTTATTTCATTATTTTCATGGCATTACTATGATCTAAAAGAATCATGATTTTCTATTGCTTCCCAAGTGCTGGTGAGAACTAATAAGTTTAACTGGTTATGGCTGGACTTTGGTGGACCTGTCGTTGTTTGGTTTGACCACCAATTCACCCCATGTGCCCTACTAGCATATACTTGTACTATTAGTCACAGAGGAAACTGAGTGATCGTGATAGATAGAAACAACCCTTCCCTCAGTGTGAAAACTTTTCCAAAAGAGGTGGACCAGCAGTTCTTGCTTGTGAGAGTCAGGTGTCCCTCAGTGGGGACCCACTGGTTATGGTGATTCCTTCAATGACTGGCGATGTCTGAGTCTTTGCTTAAGGAGAACTTGTTACATAAACCATATACAAAAGGCACAACTAGATGCTAATTTTGGAAGAGTTGAGGCTTCTCTACTTTAAATAATAGATTGGAAAACATCTTCAAACAGGTGAATGTGCCACAGATAGCCACCACATGGCAGCAAGAAGACAAAATATTAATCCATAGAATTGTCTGTGGAAATTGTTGCCTAATATCAGCAACTTTGCAGAAAGAAGGGGGGCTCACTTTAAGCAGGGCATGTTTTCTCGCCTAATTTCCATTAGTAGTCAACCACCAGCTAGAAATTTAATCTTAATCCCTTAACATCTTTTACATCCATGAAATTCCAAGCTTATGTAAATTCTTCAAGATTTAGTTTGCTAAATTTGACAGATTTTCTGTTAAGAAAAGTCAAAACCTAGTCATTGGCCTAAGACTTGTATTGTTTACCCACTTATATAAGTGGGGCCCATTAATAAAAAGTAGAGAAAACACAGGAGCATGTTAAGAATAATTCCACCAAATTTTATCCCCCTCAAAATCCAAAACTTATAGTCCCAGGGAGTGACCATTCAGTTGTGTCAAGTGAAGTGTCTCTTGAAATCATGTATTTTTCTCCACCTTCTCTTCTCTCTTCTTTTGAGACTTTAGCCCAAGCTCAATAGAGAAATTATAGAAAAGCAAATGGCCTGGATTCCTTTGGCCCTTAGATTATACTTTAGCAAGAATTCTTAACCAAAGCAGAAGGTCAGCTAATATAGCTTTTGCTTTCATTTTGTCTCTTTGGTATAAGCCTAAATTTAAAGTTTTTAGGTCACCTGAGGGGGAATAATAAGTAGGCGTCTTTCTTTAGCACTAGAGTGAGTTTCCTTTCTCATAACTCCTGTATGCTTAGTTAGTGTTGGAAAAGAATCACTTACAGAGCTATCAGGAAAAAGTTGTCCTTAAGGGCTGGCTGGTCAGCTCAGTTGATTAGAGCATGGTGCTGATAACACCAAGGTCCAGAGTTCAATCCCCATACTGGCCAGCCGCCAAAAAAATGGGAAAAGTTGTCCTGAGCTGCTCATTTCTAAAATTCAACCAATCGTTATGAGCTTAAAAGTAAACCTAAGTAAACCAGAGTTTGGGTTTTCTTAAAAACTTTAAAGCCAAATTCCTTGAGTATATTTGGGTGAAAACTAGTTTTCAAGTTTGGAAAAATTTTCTCATCAGAAGAAAGATGAACGGTAGGAGTATTAAATTTCTCTGTGTGAATAATTTCCTCTATGACCTAAATACTGTTCTTTTTCTTTAACCTCCACCTGGGCTGTATAGCTGCTGGAGAAAAACCATATTACTGTGAAGACTGGTGCTATATCTAATGAAATCCGTCCTCAGCCAAGCCCTCGGGGCTCCATGTCAGTTTTTTTTTTGTTTTTTTTTAATAGTAGGTTAATCTTTTATTCTAATGTTGCTTGAATACATCCATGTCAGGTTTTTGTTTATTAAAGTACTGTCAGTCTTTTAAATTCTTTTTTGTCGTTGTTTTGCTCATGTTCTCCTGATCTTCATGCCTCTCTTCAGCCTCACTCTGTGTGGAATATCATGGCCACCTCACTGGCTCCACATGTAAATGTATCCTTTTCTTTTTCCTTCTAGTCTCAGAAGATGGTATGTGTTTCCTTCTGTTCCTCCACCAATCCTTCCAGGCCAGTCTATGTAACTGGGCCCTTAGTTTATTCTTGCCAGTCTCTTTGAATACCAGGTTCCACTGGCCACCCTCTTCCTTCTACATTTCTACAGTAAATATTAATATGTGGCTCAAAGAGGTTAAGAGTGAGGGCCGGCCCTGTGGCTCACTCGGGAGAGTGCGGCGCTGGTAGCGCCAAGGCCGCGGGTTCGGATCCTATGTAGGAATGACTGGTGCGCTCACTGACTGAGCGTGGTGCAGACCACACCGTGCCAAGGGTTGCTCCCCTTACCAGTCAGAGAGTGCGGCGCTGGTAGCGCCAAGGCCGCGGGTTCGGATCCTATGTAGGAATGACTGGTGTGCTCACTGACTGAGCATGGTGCAGACCACACCGTGCCAAGGGTTGCTCCCCTTACCAGTAAAAAAAAAAAAAGAGGTTAAGAGTGAAAAGTACATATAATATTATATATTACATTAAATATATCATATGGTGTAAAACCTTTAAATCCTATCATAACTTTCCAATATAACTTTGGGTAGTTTAGTATTAATAATATTATCTGATACCTTTTCAAGTATTATTATGTGCCAGGTATTCATCTATATGCTTTTAATGACATATTAAGTCATTAAAGAACAGGGAACCAGATACTGCTTTTTGCTTTAGTAACATATATATTTAATAAATATATTTAACCTATAGTTCTGTGGGGTTTTTTGTTTTTCTTCCTGTTTCCTTTTAGACCAACCCTTTATACCTGGCTAAGCTGATTTTCCAGATGCCACAGAACAAGTCGACTAAATTTATGGATACTGTTATTTTCACACTATACAATTATGCTTCTAATCAGCGGGAAGAATATCTACTCCTCAAGCTTTTTAAAACTGCTCTGGAGGAAGAAATAAAGTATGTATATAAATATGTATGTAAAATTATCAATGAATAGATCCTTTCATTAGTGGTAGCTATCTCTGATTTACTAAAATAATTTTAAATTGTTATATTATTTATATATATTAAAATATATCAAATTTCTTGAAATTTCCATATCATTAGAGCTATATTCAAGTAAAGCTTTCTCCCATAAGCAATACTTTTTCTAGTGTTAAATTAACTTGATTTTGCATGTCTACGACAACTGAAAATCAAAAGCCTATTTGAAATTCACTAAGAAAATTTAACTTTTAAAAAATTCTGTGAGTAATAAAGCTATTCTGTGAGGGCAGAGATAGCGATCTCTGCCAAATAGCCTTCTCTTCTTACTGGAACTTAAGTTACTTTTGCTCATTTATTTTCTGATACAGTTAAGGTAAAACATGTGTAGGTAGATGTAATGAATGGAAAAAAAAAAAAAAAAAAAATGCATAAGAAATGTCTTTAGCTAAGGTGGACCTTAACTGCCTTCCTAACTTCTTGAAACCTTAAGCAGTGCTAGTTCCTGTGGGTTTCCAAAGCATATGAGCCAGGCACCACCACCTTCCAGGTGTCTATAAGCCAGCATGATAAATATGATTCATGAGCAATAGTAATGCTATGCAATGGAAAGTGGCAATGAATGACACCTATAATGTAGCAGATTAGAAGAATGGAAAGAAAAGTTCCGAGTAGATCAACTGATAAAGATTTTTTGGAAGAGAAGGTTCTTGGCTCAAAACCTTGAGGAACAGCTACAATTTTTATAAGAGAAAAGGGAAATAAGGCACAATGGTGGTGGAAACAGCATGGGCACAGGAACAAGAAAGAAAGTAATTAGTCTGGCCAAGATATGACTTTATTAGTGACTGCCAGGAGATAAAGCTGGAAAGATAGGCTGGGGCCAGACTGTGGGAGATGCTGAGTGTAGGCCGAGGTATTGAGGCTCTGCTTACTTTCTGGGAGCTGCAGAAGGTTCTTGAACAGGATATTGATGTGATTACATTGGTTTTTTAGAAGGTTGATCTGCCGGTCATGTGTGAACACTGTGAATTGGAGCTACAAAGGTTAGAGAAATGGGAAGTCAGAAGGAAAAAAAAAATACAGTTTGGGTTTGTAGCACATTGAGTTTGAGCTATAGGTGTAGAACATGTAGGTGAAAATGTATAGCAGAAAATTGGAAATTCCAGGCTGACTCCCAGGAAAGAGATGTGGCTTAGAGATTGAGGTCAGAGGACAGGTCCTGAAGGGACGGTAGTTGGAGCTGTGTGTGTGAGTGAGGTCTGAGGGGAACGCATGTGGAAGGAAATGAAAGAAAACAGAATTAAAAGGTAAGAAGAGGAGTCAGCAGGGGAAACAAAAAGGAATGACAAGGCAGGGTATGAACCAGAATGTTGCACTGTCGGACCCCAAAGGGAGAGGAAATGGAAGAGGCAGGAGGGTGAGAGCTTGCACAGGGGTGAAAGGGAGGAGAGGGGAGACTTCATAGGTGGCAGTCACCAGTCAGGAAGAGCTCTCCACCACGCAGTGTGGCTAGAAGCTGCACTGCAATGAATCTGAGAGGAGTTTGAAGTGGAGATAATTCATTCAACCAAGGACATGGTTTTGAAATTTGGTAACTAGAGGCGATACAGTACTTGTGCAGTGTCACGCAGTATTGTTAGTCTTGGTTTATTTTAAGCTCATTCCTGCCTTCTAGATTGAAAGTGAGGCTGAGACCTTATTTATAGATCCTTAAATTGCTTGGATAAAATACACAGAACTTACAAACAATAGCTTCTTTTTAAATCACACCAACTTTGATCTTCGTGGAGAAAAATATAACTCCATGAAGCCCCTTGCCTGCCAGAGAGAATATATGTTGTTTGCACTCTATCCATAGAAGCAAATCATTTTGTTTTGGCTTGTGCTTTTTTTAGATCAAAAGTGGACCAGGTGCAGGACATAGTTACTGGTAACCCTACAGTCATCAAGATGGTCGTCAGCTTCAACAGAGGTGCCCGGGGACAGAATACCCTGCGCCAGCTCCTGGCTCCAGTGGTGAAAGAGATCATTGATGACAAGTCCCTGATCATCAACACGAGCCCTGTAGATGTGTACAAGGCTTGGGTGAACCAACTAGAAACACAGACTGGAGAGGCCAGGTAGCAAATAGGAAGATTTTGGTTTTCGATCATGTGTTATAATCACTTTTGCATGTACATTAGTACATACTCTTAAACTCTGTTAAGCAGAAAAAAATTTACTGTATGAAGTCAGTTTGCAATAGAAGATGTTACCTCCTTTTAACATATCTGTGCAGATCAAATTCTTAGACTCTTGGTCATCTTGATTCTAAATGGTATGTTCAAATTTCAGAACTGGTTGATCCGCAGTGCCACAACTTCTGTAATCCTCTCCCTTGTTTATTCGTTGTGTGTTTCTAAACCTAGACCTAAAGATAGTACACACTTTCTTGTCACTTGATAATACATAAATTTTTTTACAATTACTAAGCAAGTAACTTTAATATGTAAGGATTCAAAATCCAAGTAAGATTGGCTTATTCTAGGTGGTTGTTTGTAGATCTAAGCAATCCCAGCTTTTTATTTCCTGCAAAATAAAATAATTAAGATGCGCACAGAGAATTATGTGGGTGAATTGTCGCAGTGTTGTTTGTAGTAGTAAAAAGTGAGAAAAATCAAAATATTTGGCTTTAGGGATTTGTTAAATAAATGATTATCATATAATGGAGTAACTGTTTGGAATGGTGGTGTAGCTTTATATTTATTGGCACATGAAAATCTTCATGATGTATTTTCCAGTTACAATCAGGTACAATAACCCATTTTTCTGTTTAAAAAAAAAATGGCCATACATATACACGTAGGATCTATGCAGAATGTGTATATACCCAAATTACATTATACCCATGAATATGTGAGGCCCATATACACACATGCATAGAGGAGGACGTGAGAAATTATGCACTAAGGTATGAAAATTGATTGTCTTTGTGTTGGTATTGTTTGCTTCTTTGCTTATGTGCAGGGTTTTTTTTCCTCTATAATGAAAATATTGCTTTTTATAATTAAAAAATAATAATAAAAGAAAGTAAGTTAACTACATTACCTGGGTCTACATTACCTGGGTCTGCCTATTATTTTGCCAGAAGAGCCAAGAGGGAGGGCTGGAGTCCCTCCTGCTGCACTAACAGCAGAAGGCACCAGCTGTGTACATGGGGCTTCCCCTCAGTTAGCAAACATTTTGTTGTTGGAGTTAGTGGGCAAAGTCCAGTTCACTATACAAAGCTTAACTGTAGCACCAACTTGGCAGGAATACTAATGCCTGTACCTCAGCCTCCAATTAATTTAGAGCCCTTGTGTTTTCAGCAAGCTGCCGTATGACGTGACTACAGAGCAAGCTCTGACATACCCAGAAGTGAAAAATAAACTGGAGGCATCCATTGAGAACCTGAGAAGGGTCACTGACAAAGTCCTGAATTCTATCATTTCTTCCCTTGACCTGTTGCCGTAAGTTGTATTTGTAGCGACTTTAGTGTTCTTTGCTGAAAGTTCTTGGAATACTGTGTAAAGTAAGCCCCTGTAGTGATAACAGGAGTTTTCCCTTCTATTGTGTTTACTATTTAAGAAGTTTACCTACATTTACCTTTTAAATTTGTAGCTGTTCTCTAAATCAAGAATACTTCTGTCATAGCCACAAACGCTGCTCAGTTATCGTCAGTGGAAGGAAGTCCTGTGATTCCATTACCATCTCATTTTATGTTTAATTTTTAGGAAAATTACTCAGCTTTAGTTGACTGGAACAATTGCTGTGTGTTTCTTCCTCACTTAGCCTTTTTCCATTATTTTCTTTTGTCATCTGTTTTACATGTAGTTATGGATTGAGGTATATAGCCAAAGTTCTGAAGAGTTCGATCCATGAGAAATTCCCCGATGCAACAGAAGATGAGCTATTAAAGGTAGATTTTCAAGGGTAATCTCACCATAGCTTCTCTTGGGGGTACGAGCCAAAATTACCAACATAGCATTTTGTAAGAGTTTTCCCCGTGTGTGACTATTTACAATAAGCTGCAGGTCTTCTATTTCTGATGACTCTCAAGATTATTGATTATGCTGAGATCTTAGACATTATTGAAATTCTTTGTATTAGGGCATTTTGGGGAAAATAAGGATAATTTTCACCAAAAATAATTTTGTTAATTATATTAGTAATATGTGATTATATTTTCACCACCTTTATTTAACTTCTTGTTAGCATTCACATCATAAAATGATATGTTTTCTCTTGGGAAATGTATATGAATACTTAAAAAAAAAAAACAACCTAAAACTCTTGAGTTTTCTCTCTTGAAAATGGTCTTTTTCCTCTGCATCACTCCAGATTGTCGGAAACCTCCTGTACTATCGGTACATGAACCCAGCCATTGTAGCTCCAGATGGCTTTGACATCATCGACATGACAGCTGGAGGTCAGATAAATCCAGACCAAAGGAGAAACTTAGGATCAGTGGCTAAGGTTCTTCAGCACGCAGCCTCGAACAAGCTGTTTGAAGGAGAAAATGAACATCTCTCATCTATGAACAGTTATTTATCAGAGACATATCAGGAATTCAGGTGAGAGGGGCTGTTTGTCAAGGTGGTGGGGCAAGAACAACGTGTGTTTTGTGCCGAGAGCTGGAGTTGGGGGTGGAGGACAGGAACCCCAGGTTGCTACTTGCATTTCTTCTACCAGTTGCTACTGCGGGAAAGAGAAGGCAGGGAAGAGCAGGTAAGGTTGCTTATGCCTGGTGTTCCCTGCCATTCCCTGTCCCACCCCCAGCCCCTGCACTCCTGTTACACTGCTTCCTTCCTAGATGCATAATTTCTGCTGTTGACAAAATAAAATACTGTTCTTTCTGGCATGCTGTAGGCTTATTGATTACTTAAAATTTAAAAAAAATCAAAATAGCTGATTTCTGCTTGGTCGAACTTAAGAAGAGGGTAATATTTTTTAAAAAGAAGTTTTCCGATCAGGAAGAACTTGCCTCATTTGCACCAAATAGTAGGAAATAGAGTATTTGATTTTTAAAAGGTTGGGAAACCTCAGATTTTACATTTACTGATGATTGTGCATAAATGTTTTCTGTTCTGTTTTTGAACCTTTCATTATACATGTAAGATTTAATTCTCTTGACCTTTGTGTTTCCGAATTATATTCATATCTGATAATTCCACATGAACAAGAAAGGAGTGAGCTAGTAGTAAGATTCACTTCTTCCGAGCTCTCTGGGAAACGCTTCCATCTTGGGTTTTGTTTGTTCTCTTGTCTGTCATTCAAATGGTAGGTCATAGAAGTATGACATAAATTCATTTCAGTCCTCACTGGGAAAATAATTTTCCATTCCTCACTTTTCCTCTGGGTTAGTGACTTGTCTGCCAACAGAGGTAGTTCATGATCACTCATCTCTCTTTAGAATTTGTGGCCTTTTGTAAGAAAATGGCCCCAAATCCTCTTACTGCAGGAATTTTTGATCAAGCTGCTAATTTTAGTCCTCACTGACTAAAAAACTAATATCCATTTCCCACATTTCTTGCAAACTGTTAGCTGCTGTTAGAGCTTCCTTTTACTTCTTTTCTTCTTGAATTATTTCTGTCAACCATCTGTGTTCCCAGATCATCATCTAAAAAGAAACAAAATCAAAAGCCTCCCCTCACCTCCTCTTAAATTCATCCTTTTTCTCTTCTGCTCACATTTATCCTTTGTGATCCTAAGCAATCTATGAGAAATTATGGTGAAACAGTTCAGGAAGACCTTTTGTCACATGGGAACATGTTCCCCAACACGGCTGCCTGCCATTTAACCTCCCCCAGCTTTGGGTTGGGAAGGTACAGATCATTTTTGGTGTAGAAGCCTTGGGTGCCCTTAGGGGAGATACCAAGGATGATCTCAGGCATAGGAAACATTTACAACTTGACAGAATAGAATATATATTCTACCTGTGCAAGGGTTGTTTAGGTGAAAACTACCTGGGACTTCTCAACTGTGTTCACAGCACTCCTGGCTTTTCTTGGTCTTTCTCTATATTTCCTATAGTTTTAAACAGTAGACTTTTAGGGTCTGAGTCCTGGAGAATTTTATGTATTTGTATGTCTAGCCTTAACATTTTTTACTGGATCAACTAAGAATAGAGTAGACAACTCCCATTTTTGTCACACCCTTAGCAGGAGCTCTGAAGGTGAACAGAATGTTGCAGGCCCAGGAGTTGGTGCCATTTAAAGAATGAATTTGATGAATCGCTTTTGTTTGTTTGTTTGTTTTGTTTTGTTTCTTTTAATTTGGGGCCACAGGTCTTAATACATTTAAAAAGACTAAGATCACAGAAAATAATAGAAAATATGTTCTCTGACCGCAATAACAGAAATTTGGAAAATGCACAAATGCATGGAAATTAAACACTCTCCTAAATAAACAACAAGTAAAAAGGAAAATCACAAGGAAATTAGAGAGTACTTTAAGATAAAAATCAAAGTGCAACATATCAAAATTTATGGGATGCAGGGCTCATGCAGTGTTTAGAGGAAAATTTATATAACACACATATTAGAAATAAGAAAAATCTCAAATCAGTAATGTAAACTTCTACCTTAACAGAAGAACAAACTAAACCAAAAGCAATATAAGTTGGAAATAACAAAGATTACAACAGAAATACATAAAATAGGAAATTAAAAAACAATAGAAAAAATCAACAGAACAAAAAGTTGATTCTTTAAAAATATCCACAAAAATACCAAGAAAAAAAGGAAGACTGAAATTACCAAAATGAGAAATAAAGCAGGGGCATCATAACATTGTCGTTATTGTTTTTTGTGGTGGTAAGATTTAGTTTCTTTCTCTTGCTCATTTGCATTTTTGTTCTACCAGTGGGTTTTGTTCTTTCTTGTGTATTCGTCTAGTCATTATCATTTTTCAGATTCCAGATACAGGAATTCCTTGAGGATTTTTTGTAAGCTGGTCACATGGTGGTGAACTCCCACAGTTTTTGTTTGTCTGGAAAATACACTATTTTTTCCTCACTTCTGAAGGATAGACTTGCTGGGTATTGTATTCTTGGCTGGCAGTTTTTTTCTTTTAGTATTTTCAGTATATTATCCCATTTTCTTGTGGCCTATAGAATTTCTGTTGAGAAGTCTGCCGTTAGTCTGATAAGGGCTCCCTTATAGGTGACTTTATGCTATTCTCTTGTTTCTTTTAGGATTCTTCTTTTGTCTTTGAGCTTTGCCAGTTTGACTGTAATGTGTCTTGGAGAGGATATTTTTGGGCTGAATCTGTTTGGGGGATCTTTGAGCCTGCTGCATCTGAGGATCCATGTCTCTCCCTATTCCTGGGAAGTTTTCCATTAGTATTTTATTGATTAGGTTTTCCATGATTTTTTCCTTTTTCTTCCCCTTCTGGAACACTCATGATTCCAATATCTGTGCACTTAAGGTTATCTGCCAGCTATCCTAGATTTTCTTCATTTTTAAAATTTTTGCTCTTTTTTGTCTACCTGGGTTATTTAGAAAAAAGTATCTTAAATTCTTCCTCTGCTTGTTCTAGCCTGCTTCTGAAGCTATCAGTTGTGTTTTTTATTGCATCGAGTGAATGTTTCAGTTCCATGAGTTCTGCTACATTCTTTTTTAAGGTATTAATCTCTTTGTAAATTTCCTCCTTCATATCCTGGATTTTTTTTCTCACTTCATTATGTTGTCTGAGTCTTCTCATATTTCCTTACGATTGTTGCTCATAATTCCTTCTCAATAATTTCAAGGGTTTCTGCTCTATAAAGTCTGGTGTTTGAGAATTACTGTATTCTTTTGGTAGTGTCATATTTTCTTGGGTTTTTGTATTTCTAGTATCTCAACATTGATATCTGGTCATCTGGTAGAGCAGTTGCTTCTTCTATTACTCTGGAGTGGACTTTGAGGAGAGAGACATCCTCTTCTTCTTCCAGTCTCCATTGGTGACTCTCCCTGTGTCGATGCAGTTGAGGGTCTGGCAGGCTGCCTACACAGTATCTGTGGCTACTGCTGTGGCATCGAGCCACTTTTGCAGCAGCTGTGGCTGTGGTGGTGGCTGTGGTGAGCCACCCTCATAAAAGTGGTGTTTTTGGTATTCTCTGTTACCTGCTTCCAGGTGGAGGAGGCTGCTGCTCTTGACTTTTGCCTAGGATCCCAGGCATTGCTGTCTTGCCTCCTTCCACGTGGGGCGGGGGCGGGGGGCTGCTTGATGAATTGCTTTTGGATTATATTCTCCATAAAGAATTGATTCTAAGATCAAGAATTATCAATTTTGACATTTTTTTAATTTCAGGGGCTATTTTTAAATAACAACATTTTAAAGATGACCTGCCTATAATTTGATCACATTGAGTCACAAGCAAGGCCTAAGGCCTTTACTGCTCTCACTAATCCTGTTTGAGGAACTGGGTCTAACATCCAGAAGCATGGACTTGGCTTCCGTAGTCAGGAGCCAGCTTGGAAGAAGCCCTAACAAGTCCCCTCAAGATTTGGGGTGGGGAACAAAGTACTAGCCATCATTCAAAACTTCCTAACTATTTTGATGAAGCTATTTAACTTACAAATTTTACTATAGCTTAAGACTTTTTTCCTCCTTTGTTAGGAAATATTTCAAAGAAGCATGTGATGTCCCTGAGCCAGAAGAGAAGTTTAATATGGACAAATACACAGACTTGGTGACAGTCAGCAAACCAGTCATTTATATTTCAATTGAGGAAATCATCAGCACGCATTCAGTAAGTGGGGACAGGAGGGGTCTTAGCCATGGACCTGGGGTTCAGGCATGTTTTCTCTACAGGACTTAGTGTACACATGTGCTAGTGCTTATACTCTTAACCCTCAGAAACTCTTGATTATTTATTCCCTTACTCTTATACATTAATAAAACTCCTTCTACCAAACGAAGTTTAGTTTTGACATGATCCATTTACAAAACCAGACTGCAAATTTGCAGTTTAAGCCCTGAGCAGGGACAGGCCCTGATGCCCTCCCACCCACCAAAGCCATGCTGCCTAGACCCACAGCCCAGTCTCTCCCCTTTACAGGAATCCTCTCAGCTTTTCCAGTAATTTTCTGGGGAAATGAGAACATTGATTGATACTCTAACTACCCTGGCCCGATTATTATACTTTATATATGTATATGTATCAAAATATCAGATTGTACCCCATAAGTATGTACAATTACAATGTGTATGTTAAAATAACATTTAAAAAAAAATAAAAAAATTTTTAAAAGAAATGAGTTTAGACGTAAAAAAGAAGTAGTTAACAGGCTGTTCAAGGAAGACAGGAAACCACCATCCAACAGTAGCTTCCTGCAAAGAATCACTTCTATTGTTCTGGAAATCTCCGTCTCTTAGAAGCAGGCGTTTTTACAGTCTGTGCTGCGTCATAATGTCACCATCTGGTTCACATGCAAACATCACCATCAGTCACTAGCTTGTATTAAGTGCCTGTTGGGGACAGGGTGCACTGCTCAGCAACATTGGGAAAGAATTAGGAGGCCTTGGTTGGCTTTTCAATTATTTATAGCAAAAAGAGAAGCTAAACATTAAGGGTTTTGTTTTTAAGACCGTTTGGAACTTATTTCCTGAAAAATCTAGATTTTTAAAAGGTAACATTTTCAAGAATAGTTTCAGATCTTGCTAGTCAAAACAAGGTCCTGGAGATGTGTTAAAAATGCACCCCAGACCTCCCAAATAGAACCTTAATGCTAACAAGATCCAAGGGGTTCAGATGCCCATTAGAGTTCTAGATGCTTCAGTTAAGGATACCTCCAACTTTGGATTATAAAGATAACTAATCTCTCAAAGGTCATGCTTTTGCCCCCATCAAACCAGATATACTGACAAGCGACAAATTGGCTTCTTAAGGTTTCAGTTTTTATTATTAAGCCCTTCTAAGAAACTAAAGCTTGAATGTGAATCTGGAGGAAAGAGTAGACATAGTTTTGATGTCTCTTTCAGGGTCGGAACAGGGAGCTTCCCTGACATTTACAACAAGCTCTCAATAAGTATTGATAAAATGAATAGGCTATCCTTCTTTTCTCTACATATAAACATCCCAAAACCACAAAGTTGTCGAGCAATGAACGATTTACAAGAATAATTGTCTAAAAATTTTCTAATAGACTCATTTAAATTTGAGCAATAACCTATTCATCTTTTTTTATGATACATTATCCAACTCAAAAAATGTGCACATCTTGCATGCACATTTGCTGAGAGCAATAGCCACAAGCGAAAAATAGTGGTGGAAAGTTCTCTTTTAGAGAGAAAGATTCTTTCCCAAGGGTAGCAGAGGGAAAATGTTATTGTATTCATTTAGAGTACTCTTTAGGAGACATAGTGCGTTCCTTTTCTTAAGAATTGAAAACAGAAGTCAATCCTGGGAAACAGAGCTTGTGACCGATTTGGAATTCATGTGTTAGGTTGGAAGCAGATGTAATGTGGGGAAATTGTGTAATCGCAGAGACTGTCCTGTTTACTGTCTGTGTTAAGGGAGGAGACGTCTGCATGCAGACACAGGCACAGCAGTAGCACCACTTGCAGAGCCGTGGCCTCGTGCTTGCCCCTCATTCTCTAAGGAATGTGTAGAACTTCAAAATAAGCTCTACAAGGAGACATTTTCAGGAAATTTTTAAAGGGTAGAAGCTGGCCACCTAAATCATCCATTTCCAGAGACAGCAGCCAAATCAGCTGTCCTGTCTCTTCGGAGAACAAAAATGTAAATTTATCTATATTGTTTATTTTGTTCTGCTCTCTAACTTATTCCCCCCCCCCCAAAATACCATATGGACTATCATTGTAGATTTCTCCATGTTTTTATATTACCTCTATTATTTAAAGTCTTTCTTTGAATCAACCCATCTTTTTAAAAACGAAGCATGTTTCTTTGCTTTTAAACAAAGTACCACAACTGTAATGAAAAACTAGCTTGCCTTGTCATAAACAGAAACTTTAAAAGATGTATAATGAAGACAGAATAGTTGGATATAGTGTTTCCTTGCCTTGAAGCTATGCATCTGAGATTGCTCTCCCTTTGTTAAAAAAAAAAACATAATTAGCAAGTTCCAGAGAAGTGTTAAGGAAAATTTAGCATTAAACAGTTACTCTCTCCTTCGCTAATCTTAAAGATTAAAAGTGAATGGAAGAGGCACTAATCAAGGCAGTGCTGTACAAGCATAAGGGTAGATATAAAGATCAATAAAGTAGAATTGAGAGTCTAGAAATACACCCTCATATTTATGGTCAATTTGTTTTAGACAAAGAGCTGAGATAGTTCAATGGGAAAAGAATAGCCCATTTCAATAAATGATGCTAGGACAACTGGAAATCCACATGGCAGAGAATGAAGCTGGACCCCTTCATTCTATCCTATAGAAAAAATGAACTCAAAATGGATCACAGACATAAATATAAGAGCTAAAACTGTAAAATTCTTGGAATAAAACATAGGAGTAAATCTTTGTGACCTTGGATTAGGCAGTGGTTTCTTAGATATGACACCAAACGCACAAGCAGCAAAAGAAAGAAATAAATTGGACTTCATCAAAATTGAAAACTTTTATGCTGTAAACAGTGCCATCAAGAAACTGAAAATGGGCCGGCCTGGTGGCACACTCGGTAGAGTGCGGCGCTTGGGAGCGCGGTGGCGCTCCCGCCGAGGGTTCAGATCCCATATAGAGACCGGTTGCTCACTGGTTGAGCGCGTTGTGGGCACGACACCGAGGGTTGCGATCCCGTTGCCAGTCGCGGTACGGGCGCAACACCGAGGGTTGCGATCCCGTTGCCGGTCACGAAAAAAGACAAAAAAGGAAAAAAAAAAAAGAAAGAAACTGAAAAGACAACCGAGAAAATAAGATAAAATAATTGCAAATATTATATCTGATAAGGGACTTGTATCCAGAATATATGAAGAAATCCTATAACTCAATGATAAAAAGATAAATAATCCAATTTAGAAATGGATAACTGTGTGTTGAAGGACACAATCAACTGGGTAGAAAGGCAACCTATAGAATGGGAGAAAATATTTGCAAATCATATATCCGATAAGGGGTTAATATCTTATGATTAGTTAATATCTTATTACCTATACCAGATTTATGATTTGCAAATATTTATAAAGAACTCCTACAGCTGAACATCAACAACAAAACAACCTGATTAAAAAAAGAGCAAAGGACTTAATAGGCATTTCTTCAACGAAGATTTGCAAATGGTCAACAAGCACATGAAAAGATGCTCAACATTAATGATAAGAGAAATTCAAATCAAAACCATAATGAGATATCATCTCATGCCCATTAGGATGACCGCTTTCAAAAGAAAAAATAACAAGTGTTGTCAAGGATGTGAAGAAAATGGAACCCATGGACACTGTTCGTGGGAATATAAAATGGTACAGCTGCTGTGGAAAACAGTATGATGGGTCCTCAAAAAACTAAAAATAGAATGACCACATGACCCAATGTGTCCCCAAAAGAATTGAAAGCAGGGTTGAAGAGATATTTGTACACCATGTTCATAGGAGCATTATTTACAATAGCAAAGTGGCCATCAAGAGATGAATTGATGAATGGATAAAATGTGGTATATCCATACAATTGAATATTATTCAGCTTTAAAAATAAAGAAAATTTGATACATACTACAACATGGATGAACCTTGAGGACATAATGCTAAATGAAATAAGCCAGTAATAAGAAGAAAAATATTGTGTGATTCCTGTTATACGAGGTACCTAGAGTAGTCAAATTCACAGAGACAGAAAGTAGGTTAGTGGGGGCCGGCCCGGTGGCGCACTGCTACAATGCGCCGCTTGGGAGCACGGCGGTGCTCCCTCCGAGGGTTCGGATCCCACATACAGACCAGCCGCTCACTGGCTGAGCGAGGTGCAGGCGCAACACTGAGGGTTGCGATTCCGTTGCCGGTCCCGGTCCGGTACGGGCGTGACACTGAGGGTTGCAATCTGTTGCCGGTCACGAAAAAAGACAAAAAGGAAAAAAAAAAAAAAAAGAAAGTAGATTAGTGGTTTGCAGGGGCTGGGAGGAAGGGGTAATGGGGAGTGACTACTAATGGGTGCAGAGTTTGTTTTAGGGTGGTGAAAGTGTTCTGAAATTAGACAGTGGCAATGGCTGCATAATTCTGTGGACATAATAAAAACCATTGTATCATACATTTTAAATGAGTGGATTTGATGATATGTGAATTATATCTCAGTAAAGCAGTTGGGAATAAGATTTGAAAAGGGAACTTTATCATTATGATTCAGAGTTTTAGAAGATAGTTGCTCAAAACAACTAAAATTATATTTCTTATCACCAGGGGTACCAGTCCCATGCTTTGGAAACGTTTCAATTTAATTATAAATGCAAACAAAAACAGAGGTGTTGTCTTTCGGGATTTTCCCCTCCAAGCTGCCATCCTCAAAAGTTAACAGTTTTTCTTCTGAGATCTAGCAAGAAACCTCAGCAGTTGTCACTCATCTTTGAGCCTTTCTGGGGTCAGGAAAGGGGGGAATCACAAGAAAATGTAGGTCTCAGACCAAGGAACCCTTTTGAGCATTTCTGCCATCCTTACCCATGAAAGATCTTCAATGCAAGACAGATTAAAGTAGCTAATAGTGGTAATTAAAAAAAAAAAAAACACAACACTGTTGTGTTTGAGTACTGCATAATTTCTCTGAAGTGATATGGAAATGCCCTTCCTGCCTCATTGTAGACTCTTTTTCTCCAACTTTGATTTTTACTATAAAGGTGGAGAGGAGCACAGAGGTTAGGTAGTAGACGGCTGCCCCTTCTGTAATTTCTTGATGTAGAGTAGTCACTTCCCTCTGGGGTAAAATAAAAACCATCTATCTTTATGGTCCCTAATTTTAAGAACTGTCAGACTTGTATTTAAGATTTAAATCGTGTCAGGAGAAAATTATCATGAAAAACTAGAAAGGAAACTATATAAATATGGTAGCAGTTGAGAATTTACTTTTATCTGTGTGTGTGTGTGTGTGTGTGTGTGTGTGTGTGTGTGTGTGTGTGTGTGTGTGTTGCTTTCTATATAAAGCTCCTGTTGGAACACCAGGATGCGATTGCCCCCGAAAAAAATGACTTACTGAATGAGTTGTTGGGGTTGCTCGGAGAAGTACCTACTGTGGAATCTTTTCTTGGTAAGAACTTGTTCCTTCTACTTTTCCCCTTGTTTTTGTTCTGTTGTTTTGGTTGGTTGGTTATTTGGATTTTCTGCCCTAGATTTTTTTTTTTTTAATTAGAATTTTAAAACTTAAGCTTATTTAAAGGATAATAACTGCATCTGTCCGTTTTACATTGAGTTCTGTAATTCATAATAACCTAGATTGTAAAACAATTTGATATTTTTGAAGATAAGCTCCAGATACATAAAAAGATTTGTCAACCTGTATCATAAAGAAAACATCATTAAAGAACCAAATTTATTAAAAAATGAGAAATTCCTTACTGTGTTTTCTAAGGATTTCTTTTATTAACAGTTCTCTTTTTTAGTAATTTGCTCATATTTTGAATATCTATGTCCCGTGTTCTTTTCATGTTTCAATCAAATATTTGAAAAGCCACTTCAGATATAGTAGAATGTGGGTTTTGCGAAGCTCGTGATCTCCCGTTGGATTGCTGGGCCTGTCTTTCCCGCAGAAGAAAGACATATCTCTCACATTGTTGATGCAAGTGAATTGGAAGAATTACATCATATTGTTTTTTGTTTTTTGGTTTTTTTTCCTGCAGGGGAAGGAGCAATTGACCCCAATGACCCTAACAAGGCAAATACACTAAATCAGCTCTCAAAGACTGAGATTTCTCTTTTCTTAACCAGCAAATATGACATAGGGGATGGTGAAGCCGTAGATGGCCGAAGCCTTATGATAAAGTAAGTTTGGGGCTTAAAGGGCACATACCTCCAATTGCATGTCTTTGACCATGCAAATTCAAATAAGGTTAAATCCCAGATCATTCATTTAAAAGTATGTGAGTATTGAAATAAATTATATTTATCCATCAAACATCTAACCAAAGGATAATGGACTCTTCACAATTTAGAAGGGAACTAAACATTATAATAGTTTTCAGAGCCTGTCTTGGTTTTTTAGTTTTCCATGTAGTAATTTGATTCCTTCCCTTTTTTTTTTTTTTTTTTTTTTGTCTTTTTTCGTGTCCGGCAATGGATCGCAACCCTCAGTGTCGCGCCCGTACCGGACCAGGATGGCAATGGGATTGCAACCCTCGGTGTTGCTCCCACACCTCGCTCAGCCAGTGAGCGGGAGCCGGTCTGTATGTGGGATCCGAACCCTAGGACGCCTCGCTCAGCCAGTGAGCGGGAGCCGGTCTGTATGTGGGATCCGAACCCTAGGACGCCTCGCTCAGCCAGTGAGCGGGAGCCGGTCTGTATGTGGGATCCGAACCCTAGGACGCCTCGCTCAGCCAGTGAGCGGGAGCCGGTCTGTATGTGGGATCCGAACCCTCGGCGGGAGGGCCACCATGCTCCCAAGCGGCGCACTGTAGCAGTGCACCACCGGGCCGGCCCTTGATTCCTTCCCTTTATGAAATGATTAACTGAGCCTCTGAAAGTTCTTAAGTAACTGAAGGGAAATATCTGTCTCACAGTGATCAGAAGATTAGTGAGGAAATATCTTTAACCAAATTTAACATCTGGTATAAAATTATAGTGTAAAAAGGCACACGTATGATAAGACATTATGATCTCTTATATATTGGCCTTCTTTCCCATTCAACCAGTCCTGGATATGTTTACCAGCTTTGACTTTATTTGTACCCTACTTCCTGCCCCCAAAGATTTCACATAGTATATTTTTCCCATCAAGACCTCATGGGTATTCCACATCTGTCTTTTACACACAGAGTAAGAAAGAGAAAGAGATTTATGATACAAACACCATAAATCAAAACATCAGAAATCAAAAACACATGCTCACCAAACAATGCAGTTTTCAGGAACTTGTATAAACAACTAAAAAGTGCATACCAGCACATTAGAACAGTTATGGGTTAGGATGAGGTAGAGACTGGAAGTGGGACAAAGGGAAGTGGGAACAAAAGGGACTAAATATTATTGAAACAATACTTCAGATGTTACTTCCAAACTACATGTCCTGAATTCTGAGATGGTTTTCATTTGTGACCAGAGCTTTCTGTCCTGCCACTAACATGCTTCAGACAGCATTCATTTCCATTGATTTTTTCCAGATATTCAATTACCCATGAAAACAACAAAAAAACCTTCCTCAACGTGCTGTGTTGCCGTGCAGGCTTCTGCTATTAGGCTTGTCTATTGTCCTCAGATCACCTAGGGCTCCATTCATTCATGTAACACATGTTAGAGTACCTACTGCGGTCACACACTGGGCTTGAGGCTGGGAACACAGAGCAAGCAGTAACAGCCTCTGCCTATAGGGTTTTGAAGTCTAATGGTGGAGAACACGGCTGACTATAGGGTAGAGGCCACGCCGAAGTACGTAGCCTTGATCTCACAAGAGTTGAGGGCCATTCTTTTTGACTGCTGATTACCAAGTCAGACTGAACTTTCAGGGAGACACTTCAGGCAGAGCAAAAGAAGTCTGCTCCCTGGGTTCCTCTGAGCAACTGCCAATTGCAAAAATAACTGGAAATACAGACTGCGTGGTTCTGCTGTGCAAATGAAATTAGGCCAAGTATCTCATGATTTGGCAAGCTTTATCCATATAAGTAATTGAAAGAAATGTTTTCTTAATTAGTTTTGTCTGTTACTTAACATCATTTTCTGTATGCAGTCAACTCAAATATCTGCATTAATGAATGGGAATCATAATTTGGGTAATCCATAATAACAAATAATCTGAATATCATGTATATTTATATTCATTTCCAAACGTGGTTCTCCATGGTTCTGTGAATTCTTGGAATTCGTGTTTTAAAAACAAAAACATGAAAGTCAGGCAGGTTGGGAAGTGATGTGTGTTAGCTTGGGAAACCTGGTATGTTGTCCTGCAGCATTACCAGCCTCAGCCCTTGTGTGGCTCTCTCCTAGGTCCCCAGTGTGTGCTGGAAACATACACTGTGTGCTCCTTTAATCACCATACTATGCACAGCCAGCCAATTGTTCTATTTTTTATTGTGGTAAAATACACATAATGTAAAATTTACCATTTTATTTATTTATTTATTTATTTATTTTGGCAGCTGGCTGGTACAGGAAAATTTACCATTTTAAAGTGTACAATTCAGTGGCATTTAGTACATTCACAATATTGTGCAACCATCACCACTGTCTAGTTCCAGAACATTTTTATCATCCCCAAAGTGAACCCCATACCTATTAAGTATTCACTCTCTATTCCTCCGCACCCAGCTTCCCTCCCCGACCCTGATAATTACTAGTCTGCTTTCTATCTCTGTTAACTTGCCTGTTCTGGGTATCTCATATATATAGCCTTTTGTGTCTGGCTTCTTTTAGTCAGCATAATGTTTTCAAGGTTCGTTCATGTTGTATGTAGCAGTACTTCATTCCTTTTTATGGCTAAATAATATTCCATTGTATGGATATACTACATTTTGTTTATCCATTCATTAGTTGATGGACATTTGGGTTGTTTCCACCTTTTGGCTATTAGAATAGTGCCATTATGTACATTTGTGTAAAGTTTTTGTCTGAACACCTGTTTTCAATTCCTTTGGGTGTATACCTGGGAATGGAATTGCTGAGTTATATGGTAATTCTATGCTTAGCTTTTTGAGGAACCACCGAACTGTTTTCCTCAGTGACTATCATTTTACATTCCCCTAGCAATGTATGAAAGTTCCAGTTTCTCCACATTCTCACCAACACTTTTTTCCTTTTTTTAAAAAGTAATAGCCATCCTAGTGGGTGTGAAGTAGTATCTCATTGTGCTCGTGATTTGCATTCCCCCAGTGGCTAATAACTTTGATCATTCCTCCATATGCATGTCACTCATTTGTATAACTTCTTTGTAGAAATGTCTATTTAAGTTCTTTGCTCATTTTTAAGTAGTTTTTTTTGTTGTTGTTTTTGTTCCTAAGTTGTAAGAGTTCTTTATATATTCTGGATCTAGACCCTTATCAGATATATGGTTTGCAAATATTTTTGTCCCTGCTGTGAGTTGTCGTTCTACTCTCTTGGTAATGTCCTTGTCTGCTCAAAAGCTTTTTAGGGCCGGCCCGGTGGCGAACTGCTACAGTGCGCCGCTTGGGAGCGCGGTGGCGCTCCCGCCGAGGGTTCGGATCCCACATACAGACCGGTTCCTGCTCACTGGCTGAGCAAGGTGTGGGCGCAGCACCGAGGGTTGCGATCCCGTTGCCGGTCCCGGTCCAGTACGGGCGCGACACTGAGGGTTGCGATCCGTTGCCGGACACGAAAAAAGACAAAAAAACTGGAAAAAATAAATAAATAAATAAATAAATAAACCAAATTCCTAACTCAAACATAAGATAAAGTTCTTGAGGCTCTTCATTATAGAACCAAATTTCACTAAAATCAGACAATGACTTACACAAGTTATGAAGTAAACAAACATGAAATGTATAGCAATTGGGACATGAGAATACCTGGCTTTTCTCTATCTAAAAAATTATTTTATTTCCTTGTTAAACAGCTTATGTTCTTAACCTTCAGAAATTCTTCCTTATGCTTAATTACAAAATCACTAGTTTTCCAGTGATCAGTAACTTATCTTCATGCAGGCCTCTGCAGTAGCCGAATTTGAAGCATTGTTAATCCTTATGCTTGTAAATTTAATACCATGCTGGTCTCATAATTCTTATTTATTAGATGAGGATGAAGACGATGATAGCAAACACCTGTGTCGTGCTTACCATGTGCCAGGGGCAGTATACACACACACACACACACACACACACACACAGAGAGAGAGAGAGAGAGTAACATGTATTTGTGTGTGTATATATGTAATATAACAATATATGTAAAATATTTCATATAGTACTCTCAACAACCACAAGAGGATGGAGGTTATTACCAATATTTTGCAGATGAGGAAACTAGGCATAGAACAGATATAAACCTCTTCCTGGGTAATACAGCTAATAAGTAGAGCAGAAATTCAAGCCCAGATGATCGTAAATCCTCCAGGACCTACACTCTTGATAACAAATTCTTATAACTCATTGAGGGCAAGGTCATTGTTCTTTGCACTCTTAGGAATCCTAGAATAAATAATGAGAATTATAGCAAAGCAGTTATTGCATAACTGATGCTGGGGCATCTTTCCAGGTCAAAGAGGAGTGACTGACAGATGTGAGGGACACAAAGGGCACATACTGGAGTAGGAAGAAACATTTATTTCTATTTCCCTTCTGTATATTTATGGAATAGAGAACTTCGGTTTGAGCTATTACCATTTTACCAGTACTACCAACTGTGGTGGTATTAGAAAAACAAAAAAGCCTGGCTGAGGAGTCCTAGGATGATGTGGGATTACAGACTCAGTGTGTAGTTGGCCCTTAGCTCAGTTGATACTCAAAAGGATTACAGACTCAGTGTGTAGATGGCTGGTTAGCTCAGTTGTTTGGTTAGTGCAGCCTTATAACACCAAGGTCATGGGTTTGGACCCCCATACCAGACAGCCACAAAAAAAAAAAATGCTCAACTAGTCACATGTGACTGATAGCCACTGTATTGAACACTGCAGGTCTTTACAATGGGTTGGCTGGTTAGTTGGTAGAGCACAGCCTTATAACCCCAAGGTCAAGGTGTCACTGTTAGCCATAGGACTCAGCAAGTTACCTAACCATCAGTTTCCTCATCCATCAAATGGGGAATGAGGGGAGGGCTATGACAATCACATGAAATCATGCATTAACACCTTATGAATTATAATGAACTTACAATTGTAAGTTTCTCTCATTATAACTTATGATTCAACTTAAAATATGTGAACCTTATGGCCTTTATTAAACTTGTTTTTCCACAAAAGTATGTGTTTAGGTAGAAGGCAACATTTGTGGTTTTTAATCATGCTTAGCTGCCAAAGTGCTTAAGTTGTCATCTCTTAAGAATTTTTCTCCCATTACATGATTCAGTTTAGATATTCATTATCCCTACTGAAAGATTTGCTTGCTTTTGGTACACACTAGCTGGAGCACTAAATGGCCACTGTGATAATTGAAGTCTAGTGCTAAAAATATGTAATAATGGTATTAGAATTTTTAACAACTGGAAATATTCCTTAGCTTTCACAAACACTAATTCCTTTTCAACCTTGGGCACACTGTAAGGGAGATGAGACGGGGAGACTCAGGAATACTACTGGTCAGAGTGCAGTAAAAGACACCATGTGAGTGAAATGGCCAAACCCAAGTGGCCACACCAGCTTATGAGCTCCATGTGGTCTCATTTACTGACAGTGGGATTTGGGCACAGCTACGATCAATAAACTCCCTGGTGTCTTTCTTTTCTTTTCTTCCTTGTTTTAATTCTCAGAGTTAGGTAGCTCCTCATTCAAGGAGGACAGTATCCTTGAACAGTCATGGAGCCAGTACCCAGTACTTTATAAACAGCTGATTTATGCTTCTCAAACCATATCTAGAATGTTATGTTTACACTTGAAGCAGGGTGGGTGGAGAAGGGACATCCTAGGAAGGTCATTGGCAACTGAAATGTGAGCAGAACTGTGAACTCTGAATATTCTATTGTGAGAAGGTTTAGGAACTGAGGATTTTCACTTGGAGAAAAGAAAGGTGGTAGAAGAGGGGTTAGGGGACAGTCCTGGCCCCTCTCCAGGTTTTTGAGAGGCTGCTAGTGTGGAAAGAGAATTTCACTTGTTTTCTGCATCTCCAGAAGGTAGAGCATCAACTTTGTCTACCCATTAAACCTCTTAGTTCTTAGTTGCCTCATTTGTAAAATCAGGGAATGGATTGTTTCCCAAAGGTCCCCCTGAGTGCTAAAGTCCTATGACTAAACAGGTCCAGAGAGTGGGCGTCACTGGAAGGCAGGCTTCTCAGAGTGAGCTTCCTGTTTAAGAATGGAATGTTCCAATACTGCACTCTCCAAAAGAAATTTCCTATGAGCCACACATGTAATTTTAAGTTTTCTAAAAACCACATTTTAAAAAGAAACAGATGAAATTAATTCTGATAATAATATTCTATTCAACCCAATATATCGAAAATATCATTTCAATATGTAATCAACGTAAAAAATTGTTAATGAAATATTATATGTTCTGTTTTTCATACTACTTCCTCAAAATCCAGTGTGTATTTTACACTCACGGCACATCTCAATTTGGACTAGCTGTGTTTCAAGTGCTCAATTGCCACCTTTGGCAAGTAGCTGCTGTCTTGTGCAGCACAGCTTTAATGACTATGTAAGTGCTTACCATGTGTCAGACTTCTGCAAAGGGCTTTACATACATCTTTTCATTCATTCCTTGTAGCAGTCCTCTGAGAGATTCCCATTTTATAAATGAAAAAAAAAAAAAATCCCAATAGGGATTATATAACTTGCACAAGTCTACACAGCTAGTAGTAGAGCCCAGATATGGCCTTAGATCTGTCTGACCCCAATATCCTTAAGTGGGGGGAGGTAGTTGAGTTCCCTGTCATGGGACTGGATGGTTACTTACATGTAGGATATCTGGGGTAGAACTTTGGCGATGAACTCCACAGGCCTGATGTAAAGCAAAATTCCAGAGAAATAGGTTATATGAGCAGATTGTCCTCCAGCAACTCCTGAACAAATAAACATTCTTTGTTCCTGGTGGGGCATGTTTTAGTGACCCCAAGTCATTTTGTCATTAGCTTCTCTAAAGATGATGAGCTAGGAGTTTCCTTAGAAGTGTGTATCATAAGTAGTTCCTAGAATATTATCTCGTTAGAAAGTTACTATGCTTAGATTTTTTTAATTATCCAAAGCTTTTATTTTTAACTTGATGTTTCTTTTTTTCTTTTTTTTTTTTTGTCTTTTTTTCCGTGTCCGGCAACGGATCGCAACCCTCAGTGTTGCCCCCGTACCGGACCGGGGACCGGCAACGGGATTGCAAACCTCGGCGCTGCTCCCGCGCCTCGCTCAGCCAGTGAGCGGGAACCGGTCTGTATGTGGGATCCGAACCCTCGGGCGGGAGCGCCGCCGCGCTTCCCAAGCGGCGCACTATCCAGTGCGCCACCGGGCCGGCCCTTGATGTTTCTGTTCAATACATTTATGATGATGATTGGAGGAGGGAGTTGTATAGGGAGGAAAAGATACATGGCTTTCTAAGCCACAGCCCCCTTAGGAACGGTGCCATCTCCCACATGGCTATAATTAGCTGTGTGCCCACCTTTGACTCTCAGTGGAGTATGGAGCTGTGCATTTCCAGACAGCCCGTAAATCCCCAGCAGGAAAGGGTCACAGGGCCAGAGGAAATGGTTCTCCAAAGGCTAGGCGAAGGGAGGAAAGAAGGCTGCATTGTGATCCCTCTCTTCATGCAGACTTGTGATAAGTAAGTAATGAGAAAAAACATGTTTATAGATGACTTACTGGATTTTATGCTATTTTCAGAAATCATATATTTAGATTTAACTTTAAGGGTTTCCTCTGTCATTTGGGAGCAGTTGCCCCTATGCTTCAAAGCATGAAAATTTTGTTTTCACTTCTAATTTTTATACTGTGTGAACATTTCCTGTTGTGTTTTAGGAAGAAATTAATAATCCTAGAAACTTAATTAAGTGATATCATGTAATGCCTTTGAGAGAGCTAAAGTTAAATGGAATAGCAGGGCTACATAAAAGTGAAACTTTAGATATCAATTAGACCTGTTTGTAGTTTAAAGAAACTTGTTTCCTTTTTTTTTTTTGGAAGGAAGCTACATCCAATAATACTGTTCCCACCTTATGTAAAAAAAAGTAAACTTGATTATATACATTTTATGTTCAAATGTTTTTAAATAATTACATAACCTGATCCTTAGCTAGGAAGTCTTGGCCAATTGCACTTCTATGTCTTTAGCACTTCTAGAGGAGTTTTTCAGCTCTTAACTTTTTACGAAGCAGTTCTTCTCTATTACCTGAAGATAAGGACCCAATCCTATTTGTCAGCTCCTCAGCTGGGTCCTTCAAACCCATCCTACTAGCAGCTGTGTCAGCCAGCAACACAAAGCCTACCCAGCCCACTTGGGGCTTCTACCCTCACTGGTCTTCAGACTGTTTCATAACTTTCTCATGATAGGAAAGGTAAACCATTGATCTGGTTCCTAGAGGCTTACGATGTATTAAACAGGCTCAGAAGTTTAAATGCTATCTAAGTCAGGAAAAGGGAATATTAGATATTATTCTTGCACTCTCTACAGTAGCAGGCCGTATCAATAGCACGTGTCCCTCCTGCCCATTAAAAAGTTGTCTCAGTGTAAAAAGAAGAAAAAGTATTTAAATAAGGAATCTTGTGATAATCCCACAACATCAAGCATATAAAGCCCAGACTTTGATCATCAAGCATTCACAAATTTTTAGGTGTCTTAGAATAGACCTGGTGAATTTCTGAAAGAATGTTTTATTTTAAGGGATTATCTTTGAAGCTTCATTTTTTTTTAACATGTTTTTGCACACTCCCTCGGGAAAAGCAGATTTTTGCGCATCAGGACTGCTATCTGAAAGTCTGTCTCTTCTTTCTCTATTTTGTAAGGACCAAAAAGCTAATTGTCGATGTGATCCGGAACCAGCCAGGGAACACATTGACAGAAATCTTAGAAACACCAGCAACTGCACAACAGGTAACTTGTCTTTAAGTGTAAAATAATAAGTATAATAGAAATTGATTTTCTTAATGAATCTTCGTGCCAAGTTCTTACTGTTATCGCAGAGACACCATATGTAACATGGTTTGGAAGTAAGGAATTTTATCTATTTATGCTGAATGTAATTTTGTCCTAGACTAGAAAGGTAGTTCTGGGTATTTCAAAGCTTCTGAATGTTCATCATAAACTCTATTAGACAGTAGATGGACAGATGAGTCAGTTAAGAGATAGTTCTGGTTGACAGGATATAGAAAAATACCTTTCATATTTTATGTATTTAAGTTGAAGAAAGGAAGAAGCATCTCACACACTAAATCTGTTTTCCAAAAGCTTCAGAAGCAAATGTATTGAGTCCATTCTGTCAGAGCACCACGATGTTGGTGTAAGTTAAGTTTCATAACAATCTCTCATTGAACTTTTTATCACCATCTTTTAAAATGTGTCATTATTTAGTTCTTTCTGAAATTAGTTGTTTTCAGTGTTATTGTTTTAGTACCAGTAATTGCCACTCACACAACAAAAGTATCGAATTAGTTACTTCTTAGCAGAGCTACACATAATCACATGATTCTCCTGAATCATTCTTAGTTTAACTGGTTGCTAAGAAATAGGTATGTCAAATCATTCTATAGTTTTTACTGAATATCTCATTTTTCCCCAAATGTGTTATGACTAAGTGACTAAGAACACAGACTTCTGAGATCCAGTATAGTATAGCTGTCCATCTCCTAGCTGGGTGACTCTCGGCACTTAAAGATATTTCTGTGCCTCCGTTTGCTCAACTGTAAAATGGGAGTAATGATAATAGATAAGGAATCTTGTGGTAAGGAATTCACAGGCAGGATTAAATGAGTTAAAACATGTTAAGTGGGTAAAACAGTATCTAGCACATATTAAGTACTCAATAATGTTGGCTGCTATTTAGAGTATTTTTGTTTTCTGCTAACCTGGAAAACTTTTCCTGTGTTCATAATATTGACTTGTCTGTCCTGTGTCTAACATTACTGTGTCTAATAACAACCATATCCTTAGCTATCCTCTATTCAGTCAGTTGACTAGTACAATGAAATAAGATCACAGTCTCTTCTTATTACTGTTTTCTTTAACGTGCTGTACAAATAGTATTCATTTATTCATTTACTCATTGTTTATTTGGGAATTACTATGTGCTACAATGTTCTTATTCCCTTTAGTTAAAAGAAACCCTCCAAGTTCTTCAGAGTTGGTAGTTTGAGAACAATCCCTTATTAGCATGAAGCTCTCTGAGCACCTTGCTGTTGGATTGCCTTACGAATCTCCATAAATGTGGCTCATGTGTAAGAGTTTAATTGAGTTTTGGACATTTAGGGTTCTCATAGCTGCATTTTAATGGATAATCTAGTTTTGATTTCCTCAACTAGACTATCCAGGAATTGAAATCCTTCCACCTAGGGAATTACAAAGTAGCAGTCATTTATCAAAACATGTCAATTACTAAGGTGATTTGTCACCTTGGCAGTAAAGTAGCTATTTAGAATTTTGCCCAAATTAGTCCCTCCATCACTGTTAGTTACTCAAAAAGATGAAGTAATTCCTTCCAAACACCAATTCAGAACCCACGAAGAACGTGTTCTGGTTCTAGTCTTTGGATTTTGGCTCTAGGACTTCTTTCATTTTGACATTAGTTGCCTTGTGTAGCTTCTGAATCTGAAGATTAGGGGGATCAGAGAAAACTCCACATCTTAATATTCTCTTTTCAGGAAGAAGATCATACCACAGACATGGTGAGCCATGCAGTTATAGATTTGAGGACTCCAGAAGAAATGAAGCATAGCCAATCTATGATTGAAGATTCACAGCTGCCTCTAGAGCAGAAAAAGAGGAAAATCCAGAGGAATCTTCGGACATTGGAACAGACTGGACATGTGTCATCCAAAAATAAATACCAAGACATTCTCAATGAGATTGCCAAGGTTTTTGGAAACAGTATTTTTTCTTCCTCACTTAACATTTGCTAATCATCGGTCACATGCGGGGCACTCCGTGAGGTGACATTGGGGATTCATACTTGCATATATCATGGTTCTCAACCTCCTCAATGGTACAGATTTTTAAAGGCTTCAAAACAGTTGATGACTTTTAATAGAGAATAATCAAAACTCCCCCAAGTCAAGAGGAGAGTAGAAACACACCAGAAATTGAATGCTCAGGAAGCAATAGACAAGTTTAGTCTATAGCTTTAAGCAATACCTACTAGTTTTTTAAATGACACTTTTAGGAGAGTTTTCTCTTGAATTATTAGTTGCTCATAGGACCAGCCATTGAGCTAGTAACTCTATGTCCCTGAGAATTTGTTTCTGAGCAATTTAGCCTAACTGCAGTTCACACTTAAAGATTAGTTTCTGTTTTCCCATCTCATATTTTTACATTTGAGAAACTTCCCAAGAAAAGGCTTCCACTAAGAATGTAATGAAACATCACAGGAAGTGGCTGAGATCTGTTTGTCAAGGACAAGGAAGTAAATATTTAGGTTAAAAGGATATTTCATTCTTTTTATCCAGACATACAAATTAATATGGGGTCCAGAGGTTAAAGGAAGCTAAATGATCAGGGAGGAAAAAAATTCTCACCTTCTGGGAGAGAAATGCACTCAACTTCATTCTCCTGTGGAAAGTTATGGTCAGTTCTGGCTATTCCTTGTAGCGCAGCTGCCTCAAGGGATGTAGTATTTCTTTCTGTAGCTTTGGGGTGGAAATATTTCTCTTTGGGATATGGGGTAGAGAAATTGACACCTTTTCTTTAAAAAAAGAAAGAAAGAAGGCTATTACGTATTATGAAGGCATCCATCAAAAGATCTGTTTAACAAAATTAAAAAACTTAAGGGGGGAGGTTATGTGGGTGTATCTTTGAATTTCTGGGGGGGGGGTTTAATTTGTCTACAAAGGAAAAATAATATTAAAACAGGCACCATTTTCTTAAATATTTTTATAACTTACCAATTACCAAAAAAAACCCTTATAGTTTCATGTTTAAGTTTAGCGTAGCTCTTGTAAGCTAGAAGCAGCTTATACAACTTAATATTCTAGGAATTCTATTTAAATGCAAGTAAGACTTACTGATGATGAATTTTTTCAATCAGTCTTGAGAACCCAGGTGTTTTTTCAAACCTTGGAAATTTGCCAGATGAAAAAGTTTTTGACTTATTTCTAAAACGAATTCAACAATTAAATGTAAACCTTTTCAGGTTGAAGTATTCCTTAAAGAGGAATGTTCCAAATAGTCTGAAGAAATTGCATGACTACTGCTAAACTCTTACCCCTCATAAAACACTATTTTTCCTTAAACTAGTCATGTGGTTGTTTTAAAATTGCTTCTTTGCTTTTCCTTCAAGAGAGAAATAGACCTTAGCAAGTATCGGAAAGTTAAATATGGACACTTTCCAGTACTGAAGTAAAAAGAGGTGGGAACACTTTGGCACTGGGAGTAAAATAAAGTGCCTGAGATATACAACAGTCACAATAATTAATAGTGAATTGACTACTTGATACTCTTCTTGTCTCAAATTGGCAATGTTGTAAAACAGATGTCCGCTTAAATCTCATATTATGGCCTTTACTTGTTTTAGGATATTCGAAATCAGAGAATCTATCGTAAGCTTCGAAAAGCTGAATTGGCAAAACTTCAGCAGACCCTGAATGCACTTAATGAGAAGGCAGCATTTTATGAAGAGCAGATTAATTATTATGATACCTACATAAAGACTTGTTTAGAGAACTTAAACAGAAAGTAAGTTAAAATCATGTCATGTTCATTTGTAATGTCATGATTTGTATTTCATGATAATCAATTCTATAATCCTGGGCTGTTGGGTTAGGTTTGGAAACAAAACTTTTGCTCTATATTATAAACAAAAACTAGAGTCTCAATTTTATTATTTGCCACTGTGAACTAAGAAATCAGGAATGAATTTGGAAGCTTTTTATTCCCCATCAGCATTAGAGTTAAAGTGGCTTACCCTGTTGTGTTTTAAGCAAGTAGCATTAGCACTTTCATTACACTTTTTGTCTTCTTTTAGTCCGAGGTGTTTTTAAAATGCTATTTTTTTTTCCTTTTTGTCTTTTTTACTGACCGGTAACGGGATCGCAACCCTCGGTGTCGCACCCATACCGGGGACCGGCAACGGGATCGCAACCCTCAGTGTTGCGCCCGCACCTCGCTCAGCCAGTGAGCGGGAACCGGTCTCCACATGGGATCCGAACCCTCAGCGGGAGCGCCACCGCGCTCTCAAGTGGCGCACTCTCCAGTGCACCACCGGGCCGGCCCTTAAAATGCTATTTAAAAAATATAAACTATTCTTGTTTGGGGAATGTTTATTGTAAACAGTATTTTATATACTTGATAATGTTAGATAATGCCAAATATTTGCTAATTGCTCAAAGCAGCTTAATGATTTTAAATTGCTTAATGATTTTAAAAAATCATTAATGACACAATAGGAAAAATTTGGCAGCTCTCTATTATCAATTAGTGTAGATATTATAAATTTTTATACACAATATAGCCATTTTTAATGACTGTTGCTCATAATTTTTTTTCACTAGATTAGGGTCAGTGCTAATCAAATTTTAATTATCCACTTAAACATGTAATACTATATTTTCATATAATCCTAATCATAAAACTGGCAGGTAGGGATGGTGCTGTAGGGAAAAAGCAATTGTGTTAGTCATAGAAGTTTTTTATTTTATTGTAAATTGACAATTTATAATTGTATATACTTATGGTGTATGAAGTGATATGATTTATAAATACAATGTGGAATAATTAAATCAAGCTAATTAACATATCCATTACCTCAAATACTTCCCATTTTTTGTGGTGAGAACGTTGGAAATTTATTCTCTTACAAATTTTGAAATGTACAATACACTATTAGTAACTATATTCACCATGCTATGCAATAGATCTCAAAAAAAAAAAAAAAAAACTTATTCCTCTTGAGATTTTGCACCCTTTAACCATCATCTCCCCATTCCTTCCAACCCCCATTCTCTGTAACCACCATTCTACTCTCTGCTTCTATGAGTTCAACTTTTTTAGATTCCACGTGTAAGTAAGAACATGTAGTATTTGTCTTTTTCTGTCAGGCTTATTTCACTTCACATAATATTCTCCAATTCCATCCATGCTGTCACAAATGACAAAATTTCCCTCCTTTTTAAGGCTGAATAGTATTCCATTGCATAATATGCCACATTTTCTTTATCCATTCATCTTTTGATGGACACTTAGGTTGATTCCATAGCTTGTCTATTGTGAATAGTGCTGCAATGAATGTGGGCTGTAAGACATCTCTTCAACAAACTCATTTCAAATCTTTTGGGTAAATACCCAGAAGTGGGATTGCTGGATCAATTATAGAAAATGTGATGAAGGAAAATAACCAATTTAAACTTCATTTTAACGGCCCCTCTATTTCTGAATTTTAAGTCATTTGCTTGGGGCCTGTATATCTTTTTTTTATAACACTATACCTGGTGAAGCTAATCTTCAGTAGAAATGAGATTAAGGATTTGCAGTACACTATTTACATAATTATTGCAACTACTTTAAGGCATTTTACACAATCTCTGCAGTCAGGCAATCTGGATTTGGGATTGTCTTTTACATTGTGTGATCTTGAACCAGTCCAATAAACTTTATCATCTCTAAGGTGGGATCAGTAGTACCAGCCTCACAAGTATTGTTATGAGAGCTAAATGAAATAATATATAGCAAATGAATTTATTTCAAAGCACTATGGAAATGTTAATTTTGTAAATGTGAGGTAATATTTATAAAGCACTTACAACAGTGCTGGCCACATCATGTTTGTTAAATAAACTGAAGCAATCGTAATATTACCTTTACTTAGTTCATGTTATTGCACCAAAGCTACTTGTGAAATGACTTAAGATAGCCACGTAGTTGAGTATGCCTGACAGAATAGAGTGTAAGTTTTATTAAAAGTATTAGTTTGTAATACAAACTTTAGTCACTTGGGAAATCCCTTTCCCCGAAACAGTTCAGTAGTGAGGTTTTACTGCATGGGGAAAATTGTTACCTACTCTCACAAAGTAAAAAAGTGTACATTCAGAGCAATGGGGGCCAGGTGTGAACAGTGCTGTCACTGTGGGTGTGGTTATTGCACTACAAGAAACACCTGAGTTTGCCATCATTACAACAGATGGTCTGTTCTTATTTTGCCAGAAATACTCGGAGATCAATTAAACTAGATGGAAAAGGAGAACCCAAAGGTGCGAAGAGAGTGAAGCTTGTGGGGTACACTGCCACAAAGCTGCATGAGAAAGGTGTCCTGCTAGGAATAGATGATCTTCAAACAAACCAGTAAGTGTGACCTGGAGTCTGCACAGAACACACACCATCTACTTGCTTACATCAAATCTGACTCACATTTCCTCGGTTTCTTGCAGCCTGTGAGAGGGTTTCATTTGGTTATCAGGGCGTAACCTTGATTACAGATGACAGGGGAAGAATACAAGTATTATTATTATTGCTAGTCTTGCCTCCGGCCTTCAGTCAGTCAAGTGGTTGTGTTTCCCATGGCCTGTCCAATGTGTTTTGATTTGCGTGCTTCCCCATGTCCCTCCAAAAGAACTGAGTCATAGCAGTGAGAATGAAAGGCTGTCTTTTGGTCTTCACTGATGAGTTACCTACAGTTGCAAAATGGTACCTTTCTAGTTTCCAGGCCACATACTGTGCCGAACCCTGGGTGAGAGCCACTTCCAACAGTGTGCTGTGTGTGTATTCAAGGTGCTGGAGAAAACAATCCCTCCTCCACAACCCCACATCTGGCACCATGTGCTTCTTTGTTTTAAAGGGGTCATGAGCCCAGTGCCCAGTGCCCCATCACTGCTTTGTCCTTTGTCTCAAGGGAAGCCAGACTTGCTGGCATTTGCCTCCTCTCAACTCCTACTTTCCTACCAGGCCTGGCTTCTATTCCATTTATCCTGTGAAACCTTCTCTTGACTACACCAACACAAAGAAGATGCTTCTTCCTCTTTTCAAATTTCTGTAAAAGTAATCATCTGAAATACTCAACTGGTCTGTCAGCAGTATGGGTCAATATTTAATTCTCATGTTCTGTGACTCTCATATTCTTCCAACTATATTTTAGTGTTCCTTAAGAGCAAGGACCGTGTCTTCTATTTCTTTTGTTCTAAAGTACCTAGTTCAGTGCTCCAAACTACAGATCTCCATAACAGCCATCCATCCAATCTAGCATTTAGGGAGCAGGGTGGAGAAAAGATGATGTAAGGTTTTTGGTGACTTCCTTAGGATTTTACCAACAGACCATTCACTAAAAATGATAATTTGGGATTCTATTAGGTTGTTTCAGCTTTAAGTGTATGTTTGTAATTTCATATTTGTGAATGTTTCTTTCTTCACTAGGTTTAAGAATGTTACGTTTAATATCATAGCTACTGAAGATGTGGGCATTTTCGATGTCAGATCAAAATTTATTGGTGTTGAAATGGAAAAGGTGCAGCTCAATATTCAGGTAAACTGGGATTTCTGCAAATGGAAGTATTATATGTGGGTCTTGCATGGCTCCCGTGGTTCACACTCTTCATGACAACGACATTTAACAGTGCAAGACTTATTTGCCAGTATTAATTGTTTAATGTTGATTTTTTTTTTTTTTCCTTTTTTGTCTTTTTTCGTGTCCGGCAACGGATCGCAACCCTCAGTGTCGCGCCCGTACCGGACCGGGACCGGCAACAGGATCGCAACCCTCGGTGTCGCGCCCGCACCTCGCTCAGCCAGTGAGCGGGAACTGGTCTGTATGTGGGATCCGAACCCTCGGCGGGAGTGCCGCCACACTCCCAAGCGGCACACTGTAGCAGTGCGCCACCGGGCCGGCCCTAATGTTGATTTTTCAAATTATGAGAACTTAAAATGTTTTTAGATGGCAACCCATAGCAGTCAGGTTTTCTAAGATATGTTTCTATTTTGAAGCTTAGACAAAAGACTATGATATAATAGTATTCAGAGCTATTAAGTAAAGCTGGAAAGTTTCCTTTTATTAAAAAGTTGCATTTCTTTCTAAGACTGTGTATGCCCAGAATTGGAACTTTCTTGATTTCATTTTCCTTCTTTCCTTTCTCCTTCCTAGAAGAGTTTTTACATCAGTTTATTAAATCTGTTGTAAATATTAGGGGTCACAGGAATGAAAGACAATATAAAAAAACAGATATCTATAAATAGAAAAATGGTGTTTGCAATGTGAATTATCACTGTTTTTTCGTAAGTATCACATTTAACCCAAATACACTTGAACAGAAGCTGAGAAATCCAGTTTATGTACAGAAAAAAAAAAAAAATCAGGGGAAGGGGTGCAACAAAATTTTCATCTACCCCTAACTTCTTAATCCTTAGCACAAGATTGATTTTAAAAAGTAATTGAGTTTTTCTTTTTGATACAACACTATCTAAATGGAAATAACACCTATTTACTTGGGCCCCAAACTACTTGTAAAACAGTATTCTGCATATACTTATGTGAATCATCTTGCTAAGCCCCTGGGAGTGATGTAAGTTCTGGCCTCGATGCCTGCTCAGTCCATGGCTCAGCACCATGAAATTACCTCCCCCTATGGGAGCAGATACCAGAAGCCTTTCTTTTCTATCAGCTCTTGCAAGCTTAAAAAGAAAAATGGGAGCTTAATGGGTTTGGATAAGGACACTGAGATAATGGAGTGAATTGGAGTTGAGAGAGAAAAATGAAAGATATTCTGAAATTATGAAAAGTATACTTAAGTAAACAATGTTATTTTCTATCTTATTTTAAATGTCTCTAAATGTATCCAATTAACAATTTAGCTAGTGAAAGTCTTCAGTTACTTCATGTAACACTTAGATAAACTTGGGAAGAGAGAAGAATATGCTTGTGGTGATACACCTTGGTTAGTGATTCTCCTGTAGAAATGGTGAAGACATATTATGTGATTGCCAAAAAGGAAATGTCCCAAGGCTGGTCATTATCAACTGGATAGATGAATCACAGATGACCAGGAGACACCTCGTGTTGTGTTTAGAGAGAACACAGGAATTCCATGGGACTTCCTTTGAGTACTGTACAAAAACCAAACTTCACTTGCTTCTTTGTCAAGGATTCTGTATACGGTAGGATTAGCTATTCACGCCATCCATTTCTACACATAATTGTGAAATGTTACTCCTTAGCTAAGGAGTATTATGTAGGTGGCCAATATGCCCTGGATTTTTTTGATCATTAACATATAATCAGAACCGGCTATATACTTTGCAAGACTTGGTGCAAAATAAAAATGCAGTGCCCCTTGTTCAAAATTACTAAGGATTTTAAGATAATGATACCAGAGCCTGAAAACAAGTGCAGGGCCTGCATAAATCTCATGCACGTGGAACCAGCCCTGCATGTAATAGCTGTCAGATGTAACGTCCAACTTCTGTCTATATATGCAGCTTTCAGATAGTTACATGAATGTGTAAGTTACCAAAGAGAAATGTGATGGCCGATCCTTTAGTGTGAGTCAAAGACTGGGAGCAAGACAGAAGTTTCTAAGAGAACTAAGGGGGTCCCTCCTAACATTACAGCCCCATGTTTCTAGGCTGTCTTCAGCCCATTTTCCCTTCAGTTCCTAAAGAAAACTACAGGATAGAATTATATCTTATAACCATGGACCATACACTTAACAAGAGGCAGATGTTCTGCTTATAAATATAATATCCAGTGTTTATAAATGGCTGCAGGGTGGGCATTCTTCCTTTCCCAGATAAAGAGCTGAAGTTCAGAGAGCTCATATGGAAGAGGCAGCCGGGGTCTAAGCTCTCCATCACTCTACTGCCTACTGCACAGGATCCCAGCTGATCTTGACAAGAAAGCGTGGCTTACAGAGGGTTTGCAGATGCCTTGAACTCAAATCTCATGCCAAATAGCACCCGTATGAGGTTGTCGGTGTGATCCTCAATTTACACACAAGAATGCAGAACTTCAGAGAGGTTATGTCTCTGAAGGTTGCAAGGTCTTAAGATAGCAAATGACAAAGCTAAGACTATATTTTCTCTGCTCCCTACTTTGGGGACCCAGCTAATTCCCCTACATGCACCATTTCTTATCAACCTAACCTAAATCTATTCGTTTAATTCTTTTTCAAGACTTTGATAAACAGATGTTGCATTTCCCAGAGGAAAAGTGAATCCCCACTACACTAATAGGTAAAAGCATTCTTGATAAAAGGACTTCAATTCCCTGTGGAATTTTAGTCTCAGAAGCACATCTAATTAATGTAGGGGGTTATTTGAGGGCAGTTGGAGGTAACTGAGGAAGTGGAGGAGGAATCTGTTGAGAGTTAAAGTTCTCTCAAAGATGACTCCAACTTCTGCAGGTGGCCTTGCTTAATATATTGCCCAGGAATTATCATTTACAACCAAGTAATCTCCAGAACTAGAAACAAGAAAATGATACCTAGGTATTAGACCAGGGAAGTTTAGGAATGATATCTTCTGTTTGGAAGATGCTTCCTGTCCCATGTTACTGTGAAGTATTATAGCTCAGTCCCGTACAAATTGCTGGTATTGGGGCTGCCTGGTTAGTTCAGTCAGAGCGCAGCCTTGTGACACCAAGGTCACTGGACTACCAGACAAACAAACCAAGAAAAAAAAGGCTGGTGTGACCCAGTTTTTAATTTTAGAAAGAGTTGATTTCCTTTGTTTATATGGTAGCAATGAATAACAGAGTGATAATCTGACTTGAGAATGAGGGCTTGTTCTCAGTACAGGAACAGAATTAGTCTAGATCAGGAAGGAGCTGCTTTGTCCAAACTTTGGTCGCGTGACTTCAGTAAATAGTATGAGCAGTTCTCTCTATATATACATACTTATGAATAAAGTACACATGTTTCTACCACTGTACTCTTAAATGTGCGTTATAAAGTATATACAAAATTTAAATGTTTGAAGATAAGAAAAAATAAAAATAAATAGTTCTAATATTCTTTTTGTCCCCCATTGAATTGTCTTGATCACTCCACTTTAGAAAACACTGCTGTTCTAAAGGATACATCCCATCTAGCTGGAACATGTGTTTTTAATTTCTCAATTAAAAATTGTGATTATATATCTTATATATCTTTTTCTTTCATATCATACTTATCAATTCTAAAAACATATTTTCTTTCATCTAGGTCAGTGATTCTCAAGTGTTGCATCTAGACCAACTGTATCACCATCACTTGGGAATTTGTTAAAATGCAAATTTGTGGGCCCCATCCCAGCGCTGCAAAATCAAAAATTCCTGGGGAATGGAGCCCAGCAATTTGTGTTTTAACTAGCTTGTGTTTTAACCAGAGGATTCTGATGCACACTAAAATTTAAGAACCCCCATCTAGGTCATTAGGTCAATTGAATCTTATTTTTGTCAACAAGTAAGTTTTTCTAGTAAGTTTTTAAGATACGTAAAATGTCAAAGTTGAGATTTAATGATGTTCCTTACAATTTCAGGATTTACTTCAGATGCAGTATGAAGGAGTAGCTGTAATGAAAATGTTTGATAAGGTTAAAGTGAATGTAAACCTTCTCATTTACCTGCTGAACAAGAAATTCTATGGAAAGTGAAGTGCCTGAAGAAATTTCATGGATTCTGTATCACCTGGATTGGGAAATGAATTTGTTTGGTATTTTTATTTTTAAACATGATTGAAATCACTGCTTATAAATGTGTGATTTTTTTTTTAAGACCAAAACTGTTCTGAAGAATGTACCCATGTGCCTTTTGGATAATTTGATACTACAGTAGAATGATACACAGAATGAATTAATGTAAACACATACACATTGTACTGTGGTATAGGTACTATGATTTAAAACTTTGGGCATCCTGTGATTTGTTTTAAAGTAGGGAGAAAAATTTAGCTGACTAGGGACAAATGTATAAACCTATTTTCCTATGAAAAAAATTTTAAATGTTCCACTTGAATAATGTAATTCTTCATAGTTTTTTTTTTTTTTTTTTAATCTATGGAGAAATGGAAACCTAATTATTTGTAATGAATTATTTAGACAGATACTTCATTCTAAGCCCTGTCTTCTGGGAGTTATCAATTTTAAAAAGAACTTTTGTGCAATTCAAAATGATGTTTTTATAAGTAATTGAAAGTGACAGTACAATAACACTTTCTGTATAAAAGTATATATTTTATGTGATTTATTCCTACTAATGAAAGTGCACTACTGCCTCATGTAAAGACTCTCATATGCAGAGCCTTTAAGTGACTAAGGAACAACGTGGATAGTGATCATAGGCCCCCACCTCCGCCCCTCACAATTTATTCGAATACTCAACTGTGCCTCTCAATTTTTTGTAATGCTATAAAATCAGTATCTAGATGGTTTTTAAATGTATTCTTTGAAAATTGTTTTATGTAAAATAAATGTTACTTAATTACATTAATTAAGTTGTTTTAATAAATCCAGATCGTCTAGTGGGTAGAAAAAGATTCTCGGTGGGGCTGATAGAAAAAGAAGTAACGCCTGTAGCTGTACTAGTCAGCGTACAACAGAGGCTGCGATGAGGACGAGATACAAAAGTCTTAGGCTGAAACCAGATAGAAGTTGGTTTTTCTCAAACTCAGTTCAAAGGTAAGTGAGTGGGTCCAGGCTGGCTGGCTGTGTACTTGTCACTGATTCCCAACCAGCGGGGGGAGGGGGGGGGAGTCCAGGGTGGACCGGTTTGAGTCACACATGGCCCTTCTGCTTACATTCTATTGACTAAAACTTGGTCACATGCTCATGGCTAGCTAAATACCATCCCCAACTCGTCAGCCATGTATCCAGCTAAAACTGGGGATGGAGAGGGAGGTGGTTGTATTATTAAAAGGAAGAAGGGGAAAATGACTCCTGGGGGCAGATCAGCCATCTCCACATAATAGTAATCCAGGCTCTCAGGTTGGAACCTCCCTGACAGTTTTCACTCTTATTCTGTTCATTCATTCAACAGGCTTTATTTTCTGCAGGGATAACAAAATATTGAGAAAGTAGATTAGCTTATGCTCATTTGGCACAAATGAACTTTAAGTATAAGACCAGCAGAATTTGGAAAATTCAAATTTAAAAAAATAGAATCTGCTACTTAAGTGATTGTTTCAGGCTATAGGTATTTTTGACAAAGAGGTGAATACCTCAAAACAATGCTCATTCAGCAGTTTGTTGGTTGTGTATATGTGTGTGTTTTAATGCATTAACCTTAATACAGACTTCTATAAAAGAAATCAAATACACAGTAAGTTCCATCTTAAGAATAACCCACCTTTCCCCTACTGGAACTGGGGAACAGGAACCAGAGGCAGTAAGGGGGTGGGTGGGGGGGTTAAGCTTCCTTCTTCTTCTTCTTGCTCCAGGAAAGAAGTGTATAGGGGGTGCCAGAATTAAGGAACAATGTCTGGAGACAAAAGCTGACCATTCACAGCATCTCTGAAAGGAGCTTGTCTTAACTTACTCCAACACTGAATGATTTACCCGAGTGTTATTTCTATTAATAAAGATGTTTGTTTCTTGCCAATACCCTCAAAGACTGTGAATGTTTCTCTCTATTGGCCCACGAGTCACCAATTAGTATTGAAGATATCATCAACTGTTATTTGAGATCTTTTATTTTTGGTGTCTTGCTGGTACAGAGATCAAAGCCTTGACCTTGCTGTTATCAGCACCACACTGTAAACAACTGAGCTAACCGACCAGCCCTCTATTTGAGATCTTTAAGGGATATGGATGAGTGGGTGATCCAGAGAAGGAGCCATGTGATAAAGGAGCAAGAACAAGAAGCCTGTGGGACCATGGGTGTAGCAGACCTCAGTTTGTAGAGACTGCTGGAGCCAAGGCCTGTGCCACTCTCAGGAGGACTGACTGGATCATCCCTCCAGCCAGGGAACAGTTGTTCCTTATAACCCTAAATCTAAGGACTCCTGACCAGCTTCCTCCCCCAGGGCTCATAGCTTTTCTTACTCAGAAAACTTTTTTTTCTTTTAAAACACTGAGTAATTTGAACTATAACTAGGATTTTTGCAAGGCTGACTCCTGTAATTTGATGTATGTTTGATCATGTTTCCACTATTACAGAAGTGGTCTTTGGTTTGAAAGTTTGAGAGGCCCACACTCCCTTAAATTCACACCTGGGACTTAAAAAGGGCAAAAGGGACTTACGCACTCTAACTACTCTCAAAGGATGTGCACTAGTGATCTCCAAGAGTGGGAAAATCTGTGTATACTTTATTCTGGAAGTTGGTGAAGAGAGATACCAAGTCAGTGTGATCATTGTCTAATATTGAAAGAAACTGAGCCAAGATGCCAGGTACCTTTCAAGTTTTATTAAAGGAAAAGAATCTGCTGGGCTGTGCTCAAAGTGGAGAACAGCCTGGGGCTGCCCTGAAAATGGGGGACAGTCCCAACAATGGGTTTGCTAGAGTTTATATTAGCTTTTGGGCGTGAGATGTATGGGGGGAGGGACCATTAGGTTGATGTAACTGGGTGGAGAACTGCACCGATGCAGAAACCGGAAAGTTGTTTCTAAGTCAGGAGGCTTCTGTAAAGGGAAGGGGCAGGGGCTTGGTGCTGGAGTGGAAGACCAGGCCACGGCTATTTCGTGCTGGTGCTTATTGTGTGCACAATGGCACCGGCCACGTCCAAAGTCCATCAGATATGAAAGAACTATAATGTGTATGTTGTGTGTGTGTCTGTGGTTAGACACTAATTAAAGGAGTTATTCGTGATGTAATTTTCATGACTTCGTGGTTATGTAAGGATTTGTGGTATTACTCAAACATTCCAAGAGGCGAACCACAGAACTCTGAATGGTGAAAGTTGTCTATATTTTTAAAGATTCTTGTGAGCATTGAATGATCTTACTGCTGGTTAGCTTTTTGAAAAATCTATTGCCTCTGTTACCAAAATCGGGACTCAGTAACAGGTTTAAAAAGTCCTCTGAGCTCCAGAGGACAGAAGCTGTGTTTCAGTCACTCTATAAGTTCAGAGCCCAGCAGTGCCTTAGAAATGGCAGGTGCAGACATGGATTCTGGCAATGCGTTGAAAAGGAGACAGATCCCACCACCCCTCAGGAGTCCAGTATTACTTTAAGGTTGGCACTTGTATGAATGGGGCTTTTACTGATGACCTCAGTCTAAAAATGAATATCCTCTCAATCTCCAAATAAAATAGCTCATAAAGATTTACTAGATTGCCTCTCGGTTGTTTTCCTTAGAGTATAAAATCTCTTAGCTAAAATAACATTGGAAGGGAAGTCAAAGAGAACTAAAAGATACAAAGTTCACCTTAATTAACAAGAACAAAACTGTGTTTTTCTTTTTAACAGATCCTGAATTTGAGCATTGCTAGCACCCTAAACTATAGGGATAGTCTACCATTCTGTCCATAGTATAATTGGTGGATATACAGTTGGGATCTATTATCAGAAATTAACATTACTTCTAAATCTAAAATACCAATACGGGTTTGTAACACCAAAAGATGGAAACAGGTCTCCTGTTAGGTAGCTTGTAACTTGATTATAAACTTACTGTTTGCTTAAAAAGCAAATGTGGAGGAATCTATACAGAATCTGGAGTACTTCATACCTACTTTGAATACAACTTGATTTCATTTCATATGAGCTCTGGTATCACCACCATTAGCCTCCAAAAGGAAATTACTAGGCAAGTTCTTAGAATATACGGTTGCCTTTGGAGAGCTTTGAGTGGTAACCGGAATACTTGAAGCAGCTAGATCATCTAATGGTTTTTAAAGAAACTGCTTTCATATAATCTTGTGATTAAACTTTCACCCCATCGATGCCACGTTTGTTTTAAAGCACTACTATAAATACCATAAACATTATGGGAGGATGGCCAGTGACTCATACTACTCAGTGCTGGGCAAGTTAAAACAGAAAATGAAAACCAGGAACTAACATCAAGTGGTTCTGATATGAACGATGCTGCCAAGTTGAGATTTCATTTCTGAGGAACATGTTTATTATCTCTGGTTAGGTAGACTTTGTACTCTGGGAAACCTACACACATTTGCTCTAAAACTGACAAAGGGGTTTTGGCATGCATGGCATGGCATGGAACAAATGAGCTAGAGGGGTTGATATCTTTTTGAAGAATCTCTGAAGAATACACAAACATAAGAACTTTGTGAAGTCTGAGGACAAAACAGAAAACAGGACATCACCAACAGACCACAACACAAAATTAGACATCACAAAAAGCCAGTCAAAACTTCCAGTAACTTATGCACTGATGACTGAAATTGACAAAATATTTATACCTGAATTGCATATAGGTACATATCAAAACTTGAAAAATCTAGCTAAAGTATTCCAGTGAGGGGGGAAGGGGTGAAAATTAACAAACTAAACAGTTCAAAAAGTTAGGTAAATAAAAAGTAAAGTCAAAGAAAGGAGAAGGAAAGAATGAATTTAAAACCTGTGTGAAAAGTAATGACATTGAAAATAAACAATAAAATCAACAGAACAAAAACATGGTCATTAGAAAATAGTCATTTCCAACCTCTGGCCAGGTTAATCAAGAAAAAAAAGCAAAAATAAACTATATTAGAAAAAAATGGGAACAAAACTACAGATAAATTGTTTTAAAAGGATAAAAATATATGTGTACAAGGGAATACTGTACAATGAAGTTTAAAAAGAATCAGATATACATATATCAAAGAAATCTCAAAAAATGCAAATTGCAGAAGTATTCCTAGAGTATGTTGTAAAAATTGTAAATCTATATCTATGTAAATACTTAAAGCATACAAAGCAATACTAAATATTTTTTTGGAAACACAAGTGTACTGAAAACAAAAATGTAGATAAGAAAGTTACTCTTCTGGGCAAGAATGAGAATAAAGTCAGAAAAGGGTATGAAAAACATCTTAAATGGTATCAGATGTATATATATACACAAGGGTAGTTCAAAAAGTTCATGGAAGGGCCGGCCTGGTGGCGCACTGCTACAGTGTGCCACTTGGGAGCGCGGTGGCGCTCCCGTCAAGGGTTCGGATCCCACATACAGACCGGTTCCCGCTCACTGGCTGAGCGAGGTGCGGGCGCAGCACCGAGGGTTGCGATCCCGTTGCCGGTCCCGGTCCGGTACGGGCGTGACACTGAGGGTTGCGATCCGTTGCCGGACACGAAAAAAGACAAAAAGAAAAAAAAAAAAAAAAAGTTCATGGAAATAGAATTAAAAGATAATGTTACTGAGCTGCTGCAGGAAGTGCCCCAGGCTCCTGAGCCGAGGGCTTCAGTCACACCTCCCTGACATCTGCATCCAGCCCAGCAATGACCACCGAACCACCACTGGAAGCCCCCTGGTCTCCCCTGCAGGAATGAGGATGGTGCCACAGGCCTCAACCATGCCCCCCCTTCCTTCTCCCACCCTATTTCCCTCCCCTTTTCTCTCCCCCTCCCACTGCTCTGCAACAATATCTTAGAATGTAAAACAATACTAATTTTAAAAAGATATTAATCTTTCCAAGAATTTTTTGAAGTACCGTTGCATATGTTAATGCTGGGTTGTAGATCCCTGGGTGTTTTATTAGGCACTGTACTTTTCTATGCTTGAACTATTGTGTAATTTAAAGAAAGTGATAAACTATATGGAATTCTTTTCAGCTCTTTTTTCCAGCTCTTCTTAAAGCTGTGATTTTCAGTATGTTCCTCCAACCCCACCCCCAAGAGCATCAGCATCACCTGGGAACTTGTTAGAAATGCACATTCTCAGACCACGCCCCCAGACCTAGTGAATCAGAAACTCTGGAGATGGGGCCCAGTGCTGTGATTTAACAAGACTTCCAGGTGATTATTAAAGTTTGAGAGGGCACTGTCTTAGAATGTTTCTCAAAAAATGGTCTGGGAACCCTCAGCCATCACCATTTCCTGGGGACACTTGTCAAAAATGTAGACTCTCATTCCATAGTTCTGGGATGGGGTCCAGGAATCTGCATTTGTGCATGCTAAAAGTTAAGGCCACTGTTTTTGAAAGTAGGTTCAACTTTTGGTGACTGCTTTATTAGTAATCTACATCTTTAGAAAATTATGTAAATGAGGAATATCTCATTCTGTGTTTCTCTCCCCCTTGTTCATTTTTGTTTCAGTCCCGCTCTGAAAGATACTTCAATCTAGTTAAAATGCACAAAGAATTTAAGCATTTCATTGTTTCAGGAGCCCTCTTTTTGTCATTAGAGGTACATACACTCTGTTCTAATAACTAAGCCTGGAAAGCATCCTTTTAAAATTTACTGTTTTGTAAAATGGTTAAAAACATTTTCCACCAATGAAATAGATAAAATTCAAAAGTGTAGTCATAGTATTATCCCAATCTTATTTTAAGGCTATACATACATATATGTGTGTGTATATATATATTTGTATGTGGATACAATTGCTCAAATGATGGACAGAAACTTAATAATGGTTGTCATGTTAAGTGGTTATCATCCTATGGGAGAGGAGGCAGGAAATATTTTACACTTTATATCCTTGAACTGTCAGAAATTTTTGTCATGTGTTTTTACTATTTACTATTTTTATGTTTTACACTATATTGCATAGATTCTGAGATGCCCTTCATGTTTAAACAAGAAATTGGGGTGTTTCTTATAATTCGTGGTATGTCACAGTTTAATTGGTAGCATTTTTCTTTCCTGCTTGTGGTACATAAATTAAAATGATGAATCTTAAAATCAATGGCATCTTCAGGGTGATGATAAATAGTATAATAGTAAGTGGAGAATATATAATGTTAATGGTTCACATCTACTCTTGGATATGTTTTACAAGGATAATTGAATTGGGAAAGATCTTAAATAGCTTTATTTGATTGGGTAATTCCGTAGTTTATTGAGCAACTTCTGTGTTACGCTGTGAGAGTGATGGCGGGGGGAATATACGGGAAAACGAGACCGTCTCCGATCGTACTTTCTCCACCGGTTTAAATGTCAGGGATCTAGTTGGGGAATGACACTCTTCATGCGAAATTCCTTTTAAAAAGCCTTAGAAGCCTAACCAGTAGACTCAGAGGCAGCTTATCAGCTCCGGGAGGCTACGGAAGGCGCCCGCACCTCGGTGCCCTGGGGTGCGAGAAGAAGCGACAGCGGCTGAGCTTTCCTGGAAATGCTGCTGTGGGGACCCATTTCCTGCTGTCTAAAAGTCGCGCTCACCACAGGCGCGCTCTAAACAAACAAACTGCTGGCTCCTCCTCCCAGCCTCAGCCGCGACGTCCCCCTGCGGGCCCTATGCGATGGGCTCGAGTGTCCTCCGCCCTGTGACTCGAATGTAGCCAAACTCGTGCAAGTTGTTCAAGAAAGAGAACGGGACCGGGGAAGTGAGCAAGCCTTACCCGGGAGGCTCCCGGGTGCCGCCCACTGCCCAGAAAATGCCCACGCCGGCCTCCTCTCCAGACGCCGGCGCACCTCGGACAGCTCGGGTGCGAGCTCTGCGAGGACATGGAGCAGTCTGGGCCCTGCGCGGCGGCAGGGAGCAGCGGCTACTCGGGAGCCAGCGTGCCCGTGAATACCACGTGCCCGACGTATGCCATGTGCAACTTCGCGAAATAGAGAGAAACGACTCAAAACCGTCAAGAATTCTGTCCAGACATAAGGGCCCCTTCTCATCTGGGCAACCCTGTCCCTACCGCATAAACTTCTTAATCCATTATCCCGAATTACAAAAACAGAAGTAACTTGCAAACTTTCAGCTAAATACCAAACTTCCCAGACGGACCGCCGAGCGCGGCACGAGGTCCGGTGCCCTGCCCGGAGGGACGGAGGTCCGGGCCGGGGCCATGGGCGCGTGCTGGAAGGGACGTTGTCTGGCAACGTCTTTGCTCCCCTAAGGGTAACGGCAGGCCCGAGAGCAGCCGACCAGCCGCGCGGCCCCGTTCCAAGGACCCCTGCAGTCCGCGTCACAGCTTCGCTGGTCCGCGGCGCCCAGGGGAAAAAACGTCTCGTCCGGACTCCGCCGCCGGGCCCGGGGCGGGGCTGGAGCCCGGGCTAGAGCAGCGGCGCTGCGGAGCGGGCTGCTGCCA